ATGGTTTCCCCCCCCCCCACGAGGCGGGGGGGGGGGGGGGGGGGGGAGAGTGTAATTTGCACAGTGCCAAAACTGCCAACAGGTGACAGTAAAGTTTTCCTTTTTGTTCCAAAATATTAATAAAAGCTTTTCATAAATGACAAAGAACAGTAAACTAAGGATTGTGCTTTAAGAAATTATGAATGAAGGGGCAGTTTGGTGGTTCGATGCATAAAGCACCAGCTCTGGAGTCAAGAGGACCTGAGTTAGGGTCCGGTCTCAGACACATGATATTTACTAGTTGTGTGACCCTAGGTAGGTCACTTAACCCTGATCACCTCACCAAAAAAAAAAAAAAATTGTGGGATGAAACTTAGGAAGGTCCATGTGAACTGATGCAGAGTGAAGTAAGCAGAACCAAGAGAACAATTTATACAATAAAAAACAACTTTTGAAAGACATAAGGACTCTGATCAATACAGTGAACAATCATGATTCCAGAGAACTGACACTCTCCTGAAGAGGTGGATTCAAGATACAGAGTAAGACATACATTTTTAGAAATGTTGACAAGTGGAAATTTGATGTATATTTTTGGGGGCTTTTTTAATGATGGGGGTGGGAGAGAAAATAAATGCCTCTTAACTGAAAAACAAAAAGAGGGAGGGCAAAAAAAATCCTAAAGTGGTCCTTGATATGTTTGAGCAAGGAGTGGCACACTAGGGGACAGAAATGCCCTTTCATTTCTGACATGGAATGAGATCACACATATAATCTGTAGGCAGTTACTAAATGCTGAATAAAGGGAATATATAACATTATCTAGGCACCTCACAGGTATCTAACACTGTTAGGAACTTAGCAAAGGGTTTATACATTTGTAAATAGGTCAGCAATCAGAAAACTTTTTTTTCCCAAGGTTCAATGAAATCTCTTCTCCAAAATATCATTAGATGACCCATTAAAAATAGAAGAAGAAAAAACCATTACAGAAAATAGGAGGGAGTGGGGGAGGAGAAGAGAGCCAGTTAATGAGGCAGTAAGACAGCTGGCCAAACCAGATCAGCTAACTGAAGGCCAATATATATGACTACTACAGGTTTTCAGTAGCAGATAAAAATGAAGTCTGATAAAACGAAGGAACAAGAAACCATGGATGGACAAGATACCAATCCCTTATGTAAGGAAAAACTATCGGAGAAACAGCCTTTGCTCTCCGATAAAGCCATTTCTTCAAGAGCATATATCTTCATGAAAACCTTTACACGGAAAAGGGCAAATCCAGGTTACATGTACTTTCAGCTCAACCACAAGAAAAATTATTCAAAATTACTTGAGGAATAACACCTACTCAATGATATCAAGAATGGTATTCTCTAAATTACCAGAAAGGGAAAACCTTGGGAAAAGTAAGAGAACAAAGATAATGGTGTAGCAGAATAAAAGGGAAGTAAAAATTAACCTAAAATAGGTTTACGTTTATGTTGTAAAAACATTTTAATTGCAAAAAATTTTCATTTCTGCCAAACTAGTGTCCCGTGCATAAAAAGGATCTACGAAATCAAGCTTTTTCATAGGCCATAAAAATCCATACATTTTAAAAAATTCCATTTCTTAACTTGTTTCCTTTGTAGGAAGATACTTATACTTTTGTCCTAAGATGGCCACAATTTTTATATGAATATTGAAATCTAATAAGGAGAATATTGGTTTCAAATTGGAACTTCCCCAAAACCAACTGTAAATCATAAATATGCTTAAATTTGGGCAAAAGCAAATTTACAAAAATGAGATATCTTTAAAACATGATGCCATCTAACTCAGTTTAATCAAGTGGTTTACATTCAAAACTTGAGACCAAATTGAGCAGACGAGGGAAATGTAACAAATAGCTAAGAATAATTCTTATAAATTATTTTATGTCTTATTATAAACCATTTTATGTTTGCTGTTTCCAGTACATAACTGACTGCTGTTGGGTAGTCTACTTTTCAAGAATACTCAGGTTTTTCCCCCCCTTTTGGGGGGCGCTGTTTGCATGGAAATTTTGTGTTTTAAAACTTTTGAGATCCTTTAAGGGGCTGAGAGTTTTTTTCTGACAACAACCGAGTCCAATTCAATTACACAGTTGCATCATTTTAAAAAAATTCACAAGCACCATTTTCAATTTTGATTCAATTATTAGATATTTTAAAATAAAATACTCAAGATCAATGTTACCATAAATATCCTTTCCCATCTAGAGCTCTCATCACTAAAAAGCATTAGAAACAAATGACTGAACAGTTTTTCAGGAAAAAAAAAATGATCCAATCCCCAATAGGCTTTTCAAACTCAATTAATAGACATTTGTTAAGCACTTACTATGTGCCAGGCACTGGAAGACACAATATGCATTACCTTCTTTATATTCCAAAATTATACCAAGATCTCTGCTGAAGGCTTCGTAGCACACTGAAATTATTAAGTAATCCCTCCTGGCATCTCTTTCCCAGATTACCTGTATCTCCAAGATTCCGTTGGAATCTTGTCTAAGTCCCAAAACGTAGCTTCCTCCTAGGAAGAACTGCACCTTTTCAATTTTACTCACTCTCTTAGCTTCATATGAAAGCTCTTCTATTGAATTAAGCTGGGTTGTTCATCACTCAAATCATGAATCCAATCAGACTCCTTAAAAGGAGCAAAGTTTCTTGACCCTGCCACAAAGAACATACCCCTTTGGTGATATGTATAAAGTGCTTTCAATAATATTTCTTAAGGTGACAGTAACAGTTTTGATTTATTTTTAGTATGTTCATCAACAACAAGTTATAGTTTACATGTTACCACTTTAGGCTCGCTATCAGTTTAACGAATCCACCTTCTCATAACTAACTATAACTAGATCATTACAACCTAAGTGATCATGTCACACTATGGGTGACTTTCTTTTCATTTCTTAAAAACAAGTTTCATTTCACCCTTGAAGATCACTGATATGTTCAACACTAACCAGATTAGTTAATGACTTTTTTTGGAGACAATTTCACAAAGCAGTCATTTTTAACAGCTTTATCCCACATTAGAAGACATTTAAAACAATCATGATTGCATAGCTTGTCTACTTTAAGTTATTAACCCAATTAGTGCTTTATTCACATTAAAAAACTTGTACAATTTGTTACAAATATAAAACAGTGCTGTTTTCCATACATTATATCAACTTTGAAACAAACACTTAAAAGACATGGTAAAAGAATTCCTATAAACATAACATTTCCATCAGGATAAAGCTTACTTTAGCTGCCCTCCCCCCATCCCATGTGATTCAAAAAGAGCAAACATACAACATACTGTAGGTTTATTTTTATTCAAAAAGTTACTGTCTCAAGACATAAATACAAATCAGAAAACAGTACAATTAGGACAATAGAATGTGGAGGACAACAGGTTAAGGTAAATATATAAAACATTTTTAGCTGGTTGAAAACAAAGCTGTAAGAACTGCTTTCACAAAGAAATGCTCTTTTTCAAGAGTGAGAAAAAAAATCAACTTAAGTTTAAAATCATATATACAGTCCTCTCAGCAGCTCTATTAAATGCAGTGGTGTGGAAAACAACATAGGCAGTACTTTCAGACATGAGAATATTTGTTTATGAAACTGAGTTAGGCAGGTCTGGTTTGGGGCTGGTTAGTAGCCCCATGATTTAGTAAAATATCTAGATTTGATCACAATCCCTTAGATAATCTATGGTTTTTGGCTACCACAGCCCAATGCTTACTTTTGGGAATCTACAAACAGGAAGCCTTTCTTAAAATTCACCTATCTGGGGATGTTCTTGTATTGCAAGCATAGTAAGGCATGGAATGATTAAAAGAATATACCTCAAGAACTGAGAGACAACTGACAAAAAATATACATTATGTAATATAAGTTAATATTTTGTTTTAAATGATGTCTAGCTGCCTAAGCCTAGCAAAATGAGTTGATGTCAAAATGGCAGGTCGCCACTTTCTGTTTGATTTGTTTGTGAAAGGACACAAAATGAAGTTTAAAGCTTAGCTTTCAAAGAATATTATGGGTTATGAATTTCTATTATCCCATCTAATTTACATATAGAGGAAATGTACTGTAACCTGTTAGAAGTATCTTTAACCTGAAGACTGCTTGCAAAGACAGATAGATAAAACAATATAAAATACAAATTTAAAAATCATTTTAAAGCATGGAACACTCATGCTTTTCTATTTTTAAACATTGTTAAACTTTCAATATATTTCTGAAACCTCATAATTTTAAGTTGGAATTTAAAAGTAAGAAAAAACTAAACAAACTGCGCAATTATAAAATCAGCACCAATTTATATATATATATATAATTTTATTTAAAATTTAGATTCCCTATTCCCACACTCTAATAAGCTGTATAATTTTTGTTTAGAATTTTTCTGCAAACATACTACAATAAGCTTCTTTTATTTGGAGACAAAATACAGTGGCACTACTGGAAGGAATTTCACAACATTACATTTTTTTTCTTAAAGGACAAGCAAACTTTCAGGGGGTGATAATAATGGGCAAGCACGTCTGAGATTGGTTACCTTCTGGCAGTTCACTGCATCTGGATTATTTCTGAGAAGGCTAGAGAAGCTTTTGGATTTTAAAAATATCTTAAAATGCATTTTAGGTGAAAAAATTGTAAAAGTTCTGCTTCTAAGTTTACTTTTCTCCATAATTACAGTACTTAAAACAAAGCTTCTGTTGATTGAAGTTTTGAGCATTTAAATTTAAAATGCCAAACTCTTCTGTTCTACAATCCCAGGATGGGAAAAATTAATCCATCTGTCATTTCAGTTCATGGATGTAAACAAAAATCCAGCAGAAGTCATAATTATTTAGTATACCCAGTAAATAAATGTGAGAGAAAAGGACTCATATCTGTATCAAGTACCTCTCAGATTATGGTTAGATTAAAAACAAGAGGGAATACTTCTTATGATTCAAAATCAACTGATAGCACATAAATAAAATATTTGCTTTCCAACAAAAACTGTAGCTTATCCTCAAATTGTTTACTTGTCCTTTACTTTTCTTTTTTTTTTTCAGGCAAACAAAACTGCCTCTCACAATGCACTTGATCTTGGTAGGCATGTTTCATTCTCCTTAGAGAAAAATCTGTACAGAATTTCACTGTATCTACTACCCCAACTTTATTGAAAAACTTCCTCTTCCACTTAGAAAATGACTTCACCACAGATTAAAACATTGACACCCCAAGAACCTAATGAGAGAGGAAAAAAGATTGTTAAAAAACAAGCATGCATTTGATCACTTTTTCTATATAACTCACAGGAAAAAAGGCTTGCAGTCAGTGTAATGAAGTCCCACAAGAGATGGCCCATCTTTCTTGCTAACTTATTTGAGAATGGCACATTTGTTTCTTACCAAGAATGCAATGATAAAACCAGGATTTATATCTTAACATGTACAACTAAGGAAAGAAGACTCAAAAATCCAAGATATCCAAATAAAAATTAACATTCTGCTTCATCTCATAAGTTCATGTTCATACAGACTAGTCCAGAAAAAAAAGTGAGGACCCAATTCCAGTGTACTTATATTTGACTAGCTGTCCTCAGAAATGGGTACAATTAACTATCAAAGAGCAAGCACATGGCACACGACAACAGGAGACTTCCTGACAGAGTTCTTCACTTCTTTTGTGTCATGAAACCATTTGACGGTCTTGTGAAACCTATGGATTCTCAGAATAATCTTTGGAAATAATTGAAGGAAATCCCCTATTTCTTAGGGAATCCTACATTAATTTATTTTCCCTTTGTTTTGGAAAAGAATGGTTAATACAAGTACAATCTAATAACTTGTCAGTGTTAGTTGCCAACTACTAGACAACTAAAGAGAATAGCAGAGGGGTGGGGATACATTCCTTTTAAAGGAAAAGGAAGAGTCTGGGTTTTAGTTAGGTATTCACTAAAAATCTAAGCAGTTATTCTGCCAGTAAAGTTGAAATGAAAAAATCATCAAGGTCCTGAGTAGAAAGATAGGATGAACTTGAATGGGCCAAGACTCATGTCAAGATTTAGGATTACAGCTGAAACCAGAAAAGCTAAGCACCATCACAATGAAGTCCATGAAACATTCAAATTGTTTGCTTGCATAAAATGTGTACTGCTAGAAACATAATATTCTGAGACTAAGGAAGATACTGACTCCAGATTTATCTGTAAGAAATTAAAAAGGAAAACTAAATGCTTTGAATTCTGTAAGGGAAGAAAAAAATATATCATTCTCTCGTTTTCCTGGCATTTGGTTACAGTCTAGATAGGTCAAAATTAGCTCCAATAACAATGCCAACAGTACTTAAGTTTTTATATACAGAACATGTACGCAAGAATCTTTGTTGTATTTAACAGACTAACAATAGATCAATCAAGGACTGATTCCATGGACTAGGCACTGGGACGTAGGAATAGCTTTGTTAGGCTATGCCTTCTTAATGGTATTTTGGCACTACTGCTCTACAGAAATGTTGAGGATAAAAGAAAAAAGTGGAAATCATCAAGGAACCTTATTCTCAATATCTACTTGTTCTTTTAACCCAAAAACAGGCTTGTTCAAACAAGGATTTATAGCCAAATAAGAATACACACACACGTTTAAAAAAAAGTTATCTTGGTGTTGTATCTAAGAGGGGCTGATCTGTATGTGGAGGAAAAAGGCAGTGTCACAATAGGGGAAAGTAGCATTCCATGCTTCTAGACAGTAGATTGCATATACTTAAAAACAGGACACCCTAAAAATAATCTGCTAGAAAATTTTATATTAGTTGATGTTAGTATTTCATTAGAATGGACCTACCTAAGAATTGTTTAACAATGACCTCAGGACTGCCTATGGGAAATGTCGTGATATAGTCAGAAGTATACTGTTTTCAGTTTTATATCACCTTCCAGGTAGGAACTTATTTTTTGGTGTTATTTATTGTCTTTAATGCAACTTACAAATCATCCTAAAATTGAATATAAGTATATATGTGTACTTTAGTGCTACCTGGAAATAAGTCAGGACAGTCATCAAATATATCTGACAAAAGAATGGCAATTTGAAGATGAATTTTAAAGTTATCAGCTATTTTCTCTCATTTTCATTAGGAAAGCAAATGACAAATCACTCTGAAGAGAGAATCATGGAATGCTAGAGCTGTAAAACCTAAGAGATCAAATAGTCCAACCTCCTCATTTACAGAAGTGTCTTAGTAAAGATCACAAGCTGCCCGTGTAAGCTTTTATTTCATTATGCCAAGCTAATTCCCTCACATACTTTATTAAAGCATTGTAGTAGTTTATTACATAATATTTGTGTTGCTTTCTAATTGTTTGCTATGTAGATTACAAGTTCCCTGGGAGTAGGGATCGGGTAAAAGAACATAGTAGAGTGGAAACTTGATTGATTTGGTAGAATTTAGCTCTGTTACTTTAAAAAATTCCATTATATAAAGATGTCCTTAGTTCCCACCCTTTAATTGTAAATTTATTTCTACAGAGATGTTTAAAAGCAACAGGTCATTGGTGATGACATATTTGATCATTATTAGTGCCTTCTGTACAAGTTTTATACACATAAGCAAAGAATTCAAACTTCAATTTTTACATCAGTGTCTATATATGATTTCAGTGTCAAAAGATATAAAAAAGTTAAAAAAGGCTCTTGTGAAAATTTGTTTAAAATATCAAAGAATTTATTTTTTAAAAAAACCTCAATATTAAATAGAATGGCTTAATGTTTCATGCTGCATATTTCAAACACTATTTATATCCTTGTTGTGTACATTTAAAAAAAGTCCATCTCCCAAAGTGAGTGATAAAAAGGTCAGGGCAATATAAAAAAGGACAGAAATTTAAATTAACTTGAAAAGAAAAAAAAAAGATCCAGTTCTCTACTGCAGCAAAAACTAAAACCAGAAAGAAAGCATTTCATAAAGGAGAACTGAAACACAAAACAGATGTTTTGTTTAAAGAAGTTTTCAAAAGAAAAAAAAAAAGAAGTTTTCATTATCACTTTTCACTGGTAAAACTTGGGGGGAAATTGTGAAAATGCTACACATGTACTTTGAAATAATCAAGCCAATTTCTTAATTTGAAAAAAATTTTCAACTGACTTTTTTAAAAGCACCTAACCACATAATGTTAACCTACTGCCATCATGTGGTGATAATGAGAAAATGAAGATTTAGATTCCACAGCATGTAGGAAAGTCAATTGAAATTGACAAAAATCACAAATTAGCAATCACACATGGAATTTGCAATGGGGTCTTTAACAAATAATCTGTGCCTTTAACAATAAGAGTGATGTACCACAGAGGGCTATGTAAAAAATAATACAAAGCTGTAAAGTCACAATTTTGTGAACTCCATCTTTCTATACTGACCTGTAGTTCTAAACTACTTCATTAAAAAAAAAATGCTACTCTTTCATCCATTGTATCAAGACTATCCATGGTATTCCACAGGTCAAGGATAATGTTTAGGAAACACAAATTTCCACTTACGGCAGCCTGCCTTTCTCCCAAGATATCATAAAGAAAAAATTTATTGTGATTTTTTTTCATGTTAAGAAAATAGAAAAAAAATCACTTTGGCTTAACATTTTCAGTTTTAATGTCTACTGTGAATCTTTCTAAAATATATTACTGTTTTTCTGTCTTATGACACATAGGATATTGAACATAATTCAATCTATTCTGAGAATTAGTTCCCATTGTCTATAATGTAAAGATTAGGTTGAATGAGCTGAAGCTAAAGAATAAGCTGAGCTTAAGAGAAATTTTTTAAACCAAGGTTTGGTGAGTTAGTATAAAGAATTTCCTACCAATTATCGTTCAAAATTGTTGGTATATACAGTCTTGTAAGATACTATAACCATACAAACAGTGGCTCTCTATGTTCTAGGAGGGTAGACTAAATGACTTCTGAGTCTAATTCCAGCTCTAAGATTCCCACTCAAACTTTAAGAGATAAAAGGAAATTATACTAAATGTGGATTACAGTTAATTAACATTTTACTAGAAATAAAGTGGATGCTCACTGACTGGGAGTATGGGGAGTAGTTAAACAAAGTTTGGTACAGAAAGTAATGTCATAGTACTATGCTATAAGAAATGATGAGTATAAAAAACAGAGGGAGGTATGGAAGGCCTCACAGTGAAGACATAAGAAAGCACCTCTCCCTCCCTTCTTTGCATAGATTGGGAGTACAACACGAGCTGTTAAGACTTGCTATTTTGGTTAATTTTGCTGAACTGACATTTCTCTTTCTTTTTTACTCTTTGTTATGAGGGATGGCTTTGGGGATAGCAGAAGGGGAAAGGATATGGTGACAAATGAAAGTGATATAATAAATTTCAATAATTTGAAAGAAAATCTTAAAATCAAGAAACAATTCTCCATTTCCTATTAATTCCCAACCATTCCCAAATGTTAAATAATTTCATTTTCATGGAATTTCTTCCAATTGCCGATTACTTTAGTACGAAAAAGTATTCAAACTCAAAGCTGCAATACACTGCTAGATTCAGTGATTTTGTCCGTGGGTTTTATTTGTCTATTTTTTTTGATGAATTTTTTTTTTTTTTTGGACAAGGGGAGAATTCATTGAGGGTGATGGGAGAGAGAATTATGTATTAGCAAATGACTTGGAAGTAAAAAAAAGCAAAAGATCATCAACTAATCAAAAACAAATTTGAAACAACCTAATTTAGATTCATCAAGTAAAACCAAAATCAAATAGGTCAATATCCGTAAAATGCTTTTACAAATTGTAAAATGCTGTATTAATGACAAATAAAAAGATAGATTATTAATTGCTTACTATGTGCAAATAAGCACAGCACTGTGTTAAGCACTAGAGATACAAAAACAAGATTTTCCCTACTCTCAGAGCTTACATACTAATGGGGAAAGGCAACATACAAAGGGAATTTGGGGGGGGGGGGGAGGGGGGGGGGGGGGGTCATTATGAAAGTTATAAAAAAGGACTCTTGCTTCTGTATCCCAGCAAGTAATGTTATCATACCTATGCTTAAGTAACACAAAAACAAACTTCCAAATTAAGAGAGAGACCATGGACTCAATTGCGTGGCAAGCTAGCCACGTGGATAAATGGCAACAATGGGGATGTGATTCTAAGGGGCCTCAATCCAAAGGTCTCTCCTTACAGGGCTTCCCTCTGAAAATCACCCCTTTGAATTCTAAGCATTGAATTCACTGACCACTCAGCGTGCAAGAAGTTTATGACATTTCTATCTGGAAGTTCTTTGAGAAGGGAGCAATTCCCAATGACGCCAGACCTGGGTAGGTGGCCCAGGATAGCATAAAGGCATTGGTCACCTAGAGAACTCGCAAGAATATGCTGAAAGGTGAGGCAGAATGGCACCAAGGAGAAATTCTGCTTAGGTTGGCCCTGCTTGATTGGGACTGAAGAGACAGTTATCACTATGCTGAACCTTTAAAAATTCTACACTACCTTAGAACTTCATCTGAGGTCAGAGAAGATCCTTGCTTCTGACATTTTTCTTCATAAAATTTTGAAATATAAGTAATTTCCCACCCCCCCATTCTTTGAGATAAAATACTCAGGTTAGCCTTCCTTTGTAAGGAAAGATGAACCAAAGGGAAACATGTCTGGGTTTTCTTCTGAGATAAAGACTCAGCTCCTTGAGAACAAGGGCAAAAAAGCAATTCTTTATCACAGGCCCACAAGACAGAGCCTTGCATACAGTATATACTTATTGAATGCATGCTGAGGGAATTAATTTTTTCCTAAGAGCTTCACCATCACCATCATCTTCCTTCTCCTCCTCATCTCTGTGGCCTATAACCTTTCAAATGTTATAAAATAGGTATCCCTCCTTTACTGAAGGGATGGGGGAGAAATATGTTCTTTAACTGTAAAAAGTATAGACTAAAAAAAAAAAGACCAGAGCTCTCAAGAGCCAAACTAAACATTCAGTTTTAGGGTAAAGAGACACTAAAAAAGATTAGGCTCCAGGGTCTATTTAAATTCCAATTAATAAAAGGGAATTTTTTATCTGTTCTCTTATTGTTTTTTACCCATCTATAACAATAAAAACCCTTAGAAAACTGTCCCAAAATACATAGGTATCCTTCTGGCACATAAGGGTAGGAGAGTCGTTTAAGAACTACTTCTATTCCATAGTGATCAATGGAAAAGCCAACAGTCCAATCCCTGGAGACCAGGTTAGAGGGATCATATGGAGAAGAACAGTGACTTAGGATCTTGACTAAGACTATAAAGTATACCCAAGGATTTATGCCATTAGAAAGCCCCAAATTACTGAGCTGTTCCATGACCCTCTTCTCCCCACAAACCCCACTCCAGTGCCTCAATTCCTACTGCTCAGATTAGAATAGGGGAAGATATGTTCCTAGCATTCCAAACAAAAATGCACCTTACCATAGAAACATTGCTTTTTGTGATAATTAAGTCTTAACAGAAATAAACCTCAGGTGTAGAATGAATTAGGCTATGTCAATTAGTCTGGGAACCTGATCAAAGATAATATGATTTGATGGAATGACATATTCTAAGTGCCAAATAATTCATAAACATGTTGAATACGGCCCAAATTTTAAGTTGAAAACCACTTATACTTGTGAATTTGAAATCCTAATGACTTAAATTAGACCTACTGATTCATCCATAATCGAAGCAGGATCAAAGAAATCAGGCTTCAGTTCTGTCCTCTCTCTCCTATTCTTGGATGGTGGCTTAAAGAAAAAAAAAAAAAGAGCAAATGAGTGGACATTCACAAATAACTAGATGGTGCCTGAAAAAGTGGTGCTGACATCGTCACTGTCCATGTAACAGCGCCTAAGTATTTTGGAACACTAGAAATATACGTAAAGACTATTTAAAACAATAAAAATATAGTTCATTCAAGGAAAGTTTTATAAGAATATAGCTAAAATACATAAATACAACTTTATACTCCAAAATAAGCTATCTATAGCAAGAGTATTTTTAAAAATGCTTGAAAATAAAGCTAAATAAAAATGAACTTGGCCAAAGGAAAACATTTATTTCTGTATCATCTCAGTTTTCTTAAGTGTCTTTCTTCCACAACTTCAACTAGTAATAACTTAAATACCTGATAAGTTTGGCAAGGCCCTGGTGTAAAGCCCTAGAAAATGCAAGGCTATAAACACCTGGATCTTTATGCTTGAGCAGCTCACAATCTCGGTGAGTAAATAAAACATACTTAACTCTTGATTTGAATTTCACAGCTAAATGCACAGGAGAGATACAAAGAAGTATGAGAGGTCTTGAAAACAGAAGAATTGGCCTAGGTCTAGGAGATTATGGTATAAGAAAATCACTGTTTAGTTAAGAATAATTAATCCTAATATAGCAGGAGGATTGGAAGAGTAAAACTGAAGGTAACTCTAAAATATATCAAGCAACATATATACATGCAATACTGGATTCAGTGGGTTAAGGAGAATTAAGTAGAACCATTGACAGGTTTTGAGAAATAAAGTGTTATCATCAAAACTCTTCTTTGGCAGCAGCGTTTAAAGCTGAAAAGGCAACAGACTAAAGGGAGAGACACTAGTTAAAAGGCTACTTCAACAGTCTAAATAACTAGAATGACAACAACGAGAAAGTAAAGGGAGACTGATTCAAGAGATGCTGTAGAGATGTAAAATTACCAGGATACAGAAAATGAAGCAATATAAGAGTATAAAGGTAAGGGACATAGAGAAGTCAAAGATATTCTACACCAGGGTGACTAGGAGAATCACAATCAAGTTAATGAATTTAGGAGGAAGAACAGATTTGAGAGGAAAGATGAATTCAGTTTTGTACAAAATAAGCCTAAGAAGCCAGCAGGAATTATAGGTAGAAATAAAAAGCTGGCAGTTGGACATGTGGATGTAGAACTTGAAGAGCTAAAGACCAGATTACACAAAAAAAAATTTTTTGAGATAGAAGCGGTTAAAAAATGTGAAAAAAAAATCCAGAACCGGAGGGTTCGAAGAAACACAGCAGAAAACACTTGTTGGTCAAGATCAAGTAAGGAAGAAAATAGAAATGATATTGCCACATAGACCACCTAGAAAGAAATTGATGAGGAGCTCAGGAAAGATATCATAAGTTTGGCATAAAATAATGATGGGCAACTTCAATTATGTGGACATCTGCTAGAGTGTTTGCTCTGCCAAAAGCTGGGTAGCTAATAATTTCTTGGCTTGACTTAATGATAATTTCATCCTTCAGAAAGGTAAAGGAACTAACAAGTAAAACTGTTAGAATTTATTCTCACCAATAAAGAGAAATGCTGTAGTTGGTAGAATGGGAGGCACATAGAGAAGGAAGGAGAGGAAGAGTACCCATTACATGTAACAGAAAAGGAAAATCAGCCAAAGAGGAATGTGAAGCATTTAAGGAAAAAAAAAAAGGAAACAATTCTGATCAAGAAGAGATTTTTTCCTAAAGAAAATGACACAGGGAATGTCATCAACTTAGATTTTTCATCACAATTTGAAAACTTCTAAAAACTATGTAAGAAGAAATTATGAATTCAATATATTTAAAAAATACATATAACATGAAAATAAAAGCATGGCTCAGTAATGTCATTACAACATAAAGAGCAACAAATGCTCAAAATGAACTGAGGCTGGAAAGGTAAGCTAAAGACAACCAAAAATATTTTAAAGATATATTTGGTAAAAGAAAAGGATCAAAGAAAGGATAAGATTACTGCTTAGAGTGGCAATAATGGGCTTTGGAAAGAAGGCTGAACTACTCAATTCACTTTGCTTCGGTTTTCTATTAAAATAATGCAATTTGAACAAAAGGCCATGGCTGGACTAGCTAGCCTCTATGGCTAGCATAGAGCGGAAGCTTAAGATAGATAGGGAGAAAGCCACAGAGCAGCTACCTGTCCTTGATGAGTTCAAATTACCAGGCCTAGACAATTTACAACCTATGATACTGAAAGAACTGGCAGATGTTATTCATAAGATCACAGAGGAAAGGTGACAGAAAAATGGGGAAGTAAAAATGTCCTGATTACAAAAAGAATTCAACTGGAGCCTGCAAACTACAAATCAGAGGACTTAGATTCCTCACAAAATTTTAAAATACATCTTTATAGAAATGGTCTAAGATTGCTGTTTGTCCTTTGTTCTCAAAGGGGATCATGACACCAGGAAGTTGATGAGATGACCTGCAAGTGAATTGGACTGAAGTGAGGGAGAGCTATGCAAAGTCACCAGTCTCAGTTTCTCTTCTGGAGTCATCTGGGTCTAATGTTGCATACTATTCTTGGAGAAGACAGAAAAATGCTAAGAAATAATGAATTCAGAACTGAATGAACAGTCAGACCCAAAGGGTTAACTAATGGTTCAAAGGCAACTTGCAAGTCACCAGTACAGTAACCACAGCAATCTGTACCTGACCCTGTGCTCTGTAACTTTTTTTTTTAACCAATGTCTTAGATACAGATGTGTCAAATTTGCACGAAGAGATAATGTACTGTGGGATAGGATGCAGCACAGTAGAATGTAATCCACATCTATTAAGAAGAAAGGATAACTGTAGAAAAGTTAACTTTTATCAGAAGGGAGAAGTATGGCCAAATAGGAGCCCCAAGTCTTTTCATGAAAAGCAAGCTTATCTCGGAATGCATTCAGCATGGTATCCAGGGCTAGGGAAATGATAGTCCTCTACTGTACTCTGTCCTCACCAGATCACACCATGAATATTGTGTTCGATTCTAGGCAATTTTTTTGGCTTTTTGGTGAGACAATAGGGGTTAAGTGACTTGCCCAGGGTCACATGGCTAGTAAATGTCAAATATCTGAGGCCAGATTTGAACTCAGGTCCTCCTGACTCCAGGGCCGGTGCTCTATCCACTGTGCCACCTAGCTGCCCCCTCTAAGGCATTTTATTTTAAGGACTCTGATAACCTGAAAATTATCTAAAGGGAAGCAATTAGGATGGTGAAGGGCCTTGAGTTCATTCCATATGCTTATCAGCTACAGAAACTGAAAATAATTAGCCTAGAGAAATATTTCAGTACTGAAATATCATACACAATAGGATAGGTGTCACACAAAATTGCCAAAGTGAAAAATGCCCACCAAAGAAGGGCTACCACAACTAAAAGGGATTAGGCTTTTCCTACTAGGCCTCCAGAGCAGGGAACAGAAGTTGGAAAAAAAAAAAAAAAAGAACTAGAAGCAACGAGAACAAAGAGACAGAATTAGTATCCTGAAATACAATGGATTGCTTCTTGAGGAAGTGGGCTTCCCTTTTACAAGATCTTAAAGCAAAGCCTAAATATTAACTCACTGCCAAGTATGACGTAGAGGTACTGGTTCTGGTTTAGTGCCCTAGGTGCCTCCCAGTGCTGATTCTGGAGAATATTAACTTCTAGGAGGTAGGAAGAAGAAGAGGTAGTAAAGAAACACAGATAGCACTGTCATAGTGAGAATGTAGGAGCACAGTAATAGAAACAAAGAGCCAAATTAAAAAGAGGAGGTAGGGGAGGAAATACAAGTGTCCGCAGTAAACTATCAAATGCCGCCTAGAAGTCTAGGAAGAGGAAAAGACTCACTGAATTTATTTATTATTTTAGGTTATCATTAAACTCTTCTTTATGAGTTTCAGTGGAGCAGTAAAGACAGGAGCAAGACTGCAAACAACTGAAGATGGGAATAAGTGGTGAAGAACTAGAAACACTGAGTCTGGAAGTAGGATCTTGGCAGCAAAGTGGAGAAAGGAGGTAGAAAAAGCAGCCTGAGGGAGTAGAATTCAGAGAAGTTTTCTATTTTCATTTTAGGATAGGGGAGAAATAAAAGGTTTGTAGAATGGAAGAATAACCTATGTATGGGGACAGATCGAAAATGTAAAAAAAGAGGGGGGCAAGAGATAAAGAAACTTCACAGAGGAGGATATGGCATAAAGGCTATATATCTTGAACTTAACCTTGGCACTGAGGAAAGCTAGTCCTTCCTCTGAAAAAGAAAGGAAGACAGAAAAGATAAGTGGCAACACAGAAGTTTCAAGGAGAAGTAAAGGTCACGAATGAGATGGCCTTGACTTCTCTGTAAACTGGGAGTCAAAACTGAGATGACCTAAATCTTCCAATCTTCCTTGAAGATAATAAAATACCCTGCTCTCAAAAGCAGGTATATATGTAAAAATAGTTTCTTTAAAGCATGTCTTTGCTCAATTTTGCCCAAAGTAAGTTAAATTAATTCTCTTCTACCAATTGATTTGGAAAGTTCTTAATTTGTCTCAAAATAAGGTAGCACTGAACCAATCATGTATATTTTGATAACTATTATATTCTAGATAATAATTCTATTACATTTTAAAACAGAAACATTTAAATACATATGATTAAATCATATATGGATATTTAAATTTACTTAAGATATCAGAATACAGGTTAGGCATGCTAAAAAACAAATGAGATGCAAATAGAATACTTGCAAATGAAGGACCTGGAGGCTATCTTGACCTGAGATCTAAAGGAAAATCTTCAGCACTTCAGTATGCTTCAATACTCAATCCCTTTCACTAACAGTCATGAAAACAGTTAAGTTGAGGGTGTCCACTGGTACCAACATTTCTTGCTAATATTGAAAGGTAAACAACCTTACAACTACAATTACTGAATCATTATCTTAAAAGAGAGAAAAGAAATCTTTACCAAGTCTATATCCATTGTGTCAAAATCCATCCCCTCGTTAAGATCCTCAATCCTCCCTTCTGAAGACATCATGACATCTTCAACAATTGGTTCTTCATCATCTTCCATTAGGCTGGTACCACGCCGACTAAAGAAAAAAATTTTAAACAGTCAAGATTGGAAGTGAATATTATGAAAGATGATTGGCAGAATAGAAATTGATCAAATTTATTCTAAAAACACAAATGCTCAAATGTTTATAAAGCCTCAAAATTTATGTTTATTTTATTTTGCTCTGAGAATTTAACTATGACTAAATTTTGCTATCCTCTAAATGTCAATGAAATAATCTTATGTGAGTATCAAATAATCCTACCAAGTGAAGTTATTTTTGTGATCAGACAGGCAAATATGTTTGCAAAGTACTTTCCTAACAAGAACAGATAAGGAAAATGAAGTTATGTGACTCATCTACAATCATACAGCTAAGTAAGCACCTGAAGCACTTGAGCAAAGGTCTTTTGACACCAAGTCTAGTACTCTACCCACTGTACCATGCTGTCTCTCAATCAGTCAGTAAGCATTAATTAAGGGCTATGTGCCAGGTACTGCATGAAAAGAATGACAAAAGCAAGGAAATAATTCTCAAGAATTACTTCATTCCAGCTTCCCTAAATAAGAGTATCCCCAAGACATAAAGCCATTGAAGTTCTTTAGAATACAGAGAGCAACTTCTCTCACTGGCAATTTATAGATCTTATATATCTTTTAAGGCTGTGAAATTGAAAATGGAGAAACCTATTGGTAAAACCTAAACTCAGTATTCTAACCTTAGCTACTTTCAGAGTCAAAACATTCTCATTGTACAAATCGTGATATAAATACATCTACCAACTGCCCATGTTTAAAAACGGACTTATCACAATTATAAGTTATCACAATTACAGAGACTCCATTTTACAAAGGAAAACCTAAGAGCAGGGTAAAGAATTTCCAAATATGGAAATGTAGGAGGAGGATTTTATAATATTTGGTCACAGAGGGCAAAACTAGAAATCAGTTAGTGAAAGTAGCAGCAAGGCAGATTTTTAGTCAAAATAAGGCAATCCTTATCAATTAGCAATCCATTACAGAACCAGAATAGGCAGCCCTGAGAATGTCTAAATTCCTTATCATTTGTTAGGGTTGTCATAGAAGATGATTCAAATTAAGGGTTGGACTAAATAACACTTAAAAATTCCTTCCAACACCAAGATCCCTGATTCTAACTAACATATAGTAGAAGAAATTTTCTAAAAAGTTGCTTTAAAAAAAGTATCCCTCTCTAGGAACTCACAAACTTAAGCATGGTTGGAAATTCAAAATCTGAAATCTAGCATTCCAACCTTAAATAGTCATAGAATGAAAATATGTTCTTTCTAATCATGATATAAAATAGATTCTTTAAGAACTTTCTGTTCATTGCTTCTTAAAGTACCAACTATGTTCCCCCTTATTCGAGTCATCAGAGAATTGCCTTTTCTTCCAACTTAGTATTTCTCTCCCCTTTTCTACTCAACTGCTAGAGAAGTACTCTTTAATTCATGCCTAGTATTGGCAGGACTAGGGCAAGAACAAAGAGGAGGAAAAGACAAAGCCCAATGTATCAAGTTCTACTCCTACTTCTATTCCAGCCCAGTATCACTCCAGCCTAAGAGATTCTACAGCACTAATCACTAGATCAAAGACTTAAAGCTGGAAGGGACCTTAGAGGCCATGTAAACCAATCAATCAATTCACTTGAGGAAAGTGAGGTCCTGGGAGGTTAGATTGTTTGTCAAAGATCATGGACAAAGTGAAAGAGCCAGAATTTAAATATTGGTCTTCCAAGGACAAATCTGTACATCCACCAATCACCAGGACATATCACACTCACCCAACACACACATAATTAAGAGTCTAGATTCTCTATGAAAAGTAAATTATTTTTATTCAATTAGGGAAAGGAGAGTAACAGAAGAGATAGAAGGGAACATTTTTATTTCCTCTATGGTTTCCATTTTATTGCTAGTGCTAAAAAGCAAAAAGGTAAGGAGGGGGGCCTTGGAGTGCTTAGAAGAAAAGAAATGAGATGAGAAGAAGCTAGAAAGGTGGTAAGGAGCAAAGTACACTAAGGCTTAATTCTGGAAGAAAACTACAGGGTCCCCTTTCTCTAGCTTCTTACCCATCTTGTACCATTAAACCACATTCCCTACCTCTCCTACCAATAATCCTTTTGCTCGAGGCTTCTCTCGAAAGAGAATAGAACTACCACAAAGGAACACAGCTACCACAAGTAAAGTGGAGGCAAAGGAAGCCATATTCCTGTAACCTGGCCAGGGGAGCAGAGGAAAAGAGTGTGTGGGGTTGAGTAATTAATGGTCCTGTCAACAAAAATTGGAACACCAAAACCATTTCCCAGAAAAACATTTCTTACATGGGCTATGGTACACTATGGATTAGATTTTTATGAGTTAGTCTTAAAAGCTGAGCCACTTTCAATTTTATTTTGCCTTAAAAGAAAACGCATTATGAACTCTAAATAACACAAATAAATTTTTGCAACAATAATTATCAATATTCAAATTTCATCAAGATCCCAGTCAGATTTCTATATCAAATTTGAGGGAAAATGTCTTTTACTTATGATGAAACGAAATCTTTTACATATAAAGTGAAGACTTTTTTGTAGCTTCTCAATTCATTGCAGTTAGTTGTCTTACATTTATGTAATGCAAAAATACTTTACACAAAACACTTATGCCTTATCTATTTAGTCCTATAAATCTAAAATAACTAACTGGGAATTGACACTCAGGATAACTAAACAGACAGTAGGAATACTAAATTGTCTTTCAAGAATTCAAGCAACCTGGACCATAAGAACTATAGCCATGGCTCCTGATACAAGTAGTAGATATGACTACTATTAATACTTGAAAGATCATGGAAAACAGGAGAGTTAGCACAATATAGGGAAAGCACAAATATTCTTCTGATTTTCAAAAAAGTTAAGAGAATAATCAGTAAAGTGAGGCTGATTTTGATTCCTGGGAAAATCCTAAGTTTTACTTTTTTATCTGAATTTAATAAACATCAAATAAAATAAGCATTTCATTATACAAAGAACAGAAAAAGAACATTGTAAATGAAACAGCAAATCTCTACCATGGAAATTTGCTATTCCTATATAATAAACATGTAAATTTCAAAGCTGTCCTGTTTGTCTGTTTCCTTTTAAACTTCCTTCTTTAAGGGGCACTTTAAAAGTGTTTTGATGATCCCTTTTTCTTTTGGCAACCCATTTGGTAGCCCTCCTTTCCTTTGGGGGTGAAGGAGATGGGGGAATCAAAATCCTTTTAATAAATATGCATAGTGAAGTAAAAGAAAATCCAACTAGGAAAGAGAAGTGGTGATTACAAAGAGCAATATGGCTGTCTCAAGAACAGGTCCTGCCAGAAGACCAACATAATTTTGACTTTTCACAGAATAACTAAACTAGTAAATGAGGAGGACACTATGAATCTAGTTAACTTGGATATTCACAAGGCTTCATCTCATACTATCCTTCCTTAAGGAGAAGATAAAAGATATGGATTAGAGGAAAATATAATCATATGGATTCAGAACTGGCTGGGTAACCAGTCTCTAAGAGTTGTTTATGATAGGTCTCTAGTTGAGTATCCCACAGATAGCAATATCATGAATCAAGGCATAGATGGTATGCTTATCAAATGTGCAGAGCATATGAGCTGGGAGGAATAGCTAAAACACTGGATGACAGAATGAGGATCCAAAAGGGTCTTGATTGATCATAATAATGGTTAGGGACAGAGAAACGACTACCTGTGGCATACCTACTGGCATAGGGAAATCCCAGATGAGGAAATAGTCTACCAACGCACGTAGAGAGCATTTTTCTGCACTTATGATAGTACACTTATAATAACAATAATAACATTATCATTAACAGCAACAATGGCTAACATTTATATAGTGCTTACTATGTGGCAGGCACTATGCTAAGTACTTTATCATTATTATTTCATTTGATCCTCAAAACAATGCTGCAAAGTAGGTGCTATTATTGCCAATTTACAAATGAAGAGACTGAGGCAAAGAGGTTAAGTGACTTGCCCAAGGTCACATGGCAAGTAAGTGTCTAAGGCTAGATTTGAATTCAGGTCTTCCTGACTCCAGGCCCAGTGTTGTATCCATTTCGCCATTTAGCTGCCTAGGAAAATTTAATGGATCTCCTAGAGGTTTAGTGAATTGCCCAAGGTGACACTTGAATCTAGGTCTTGTTGGTTCTAAGGCCAGTCTTTTAACTAATACAACAGGATGCTTCTAATAAGGATCTCTTAAGGTTAAATTTAGTAAGTATAAATGTAAAGTTGGCACTTGGGTACAAAAAAAATCAACTTAAATATAAGACGGAAGAAGGATGGTTAAGACAGCAGTTACTCTGAAGTTTTTTAGTGGATCGTAAGCTCAATGAGTCAGTAGGGTGATGTAACAGCCGATAGTCCCTTTGTACTGTGCCCTCATCAGACCTTATCTGGACTACTGTGTCCAGTCACCATGGTCTAAGAAGGGTATTTATAAACTGGAGAATATGCAGAGGAGGGCAACCATGAAAACTGTCAGGCCATGAGTACATGTCATAAAGACTGGTTGATGGAAGTAGGAATGTTTAACCTACAAAAGAGAACATTAAGGGGGATCTGAACCTTGCTCTTGTGGAAGAGGGATGTTTGACCTCTAGAGTACAGAACCAGAAGTGGTTAGTGGAAGTTTAAAAAAAAAGTAATTTAGGCCTGATGTCATGAAAGACTAACAATTAGAGCTGTCAAATAAAGGACGGGATAGCTGGAGAGGTATTGAGTTCCCCATCCTTAGAGATCTTTAAGCAGAGGTTAGACAGCTACTTGCCAGGTATATTATAGTGGATTCCTCTGGTGTAAGGTTTATACTAAATGGCCACTGAGGTGCGGTCATTCCCAACTTTCAGATTCTTCGGCCCTCACGACAACCTTGTGAAACAGACAAGGAACATACCTGCATTCTTCACATGAGTTAATTGAATGATTTGGTGAACATTTCAAATATAGTAAGTAAATGAGACTAGATACACTAATACTCTGATGCTCTTTTCACCACACCAGGATGACTGCTGAAAGATTTAGACCAGGCACAATTTCAAGGATGTTAAAATTGAATTAGAGAAAATCCCAGACTTACAAAAATATGGCCCTCTCACTTACATGGCATGCTGAAGGTTAGTTCGCAGCTTAACATAGCTCATTGCTGCTCTCTCCTGCTGTTGCCTGGCTGCTTCTTCTTGTTGTCTTTGAGCTAACATCCATGTTACCTGCGTGCTTCAAGGAGAATTTTATTCTTCTTTAACTGAACTTTTTTTTTTGGTATGTTGTTAATAAATTTAAAGCACAAAAAACAGATCAATTGTACTTACTTGTAGTCGAGTGGTGTAGGATGGTGTTCCGGCTGTATTGGATAGACACCCATGTAGTTCTCCTCTGGTCGTAATCTTTTGGGCTCTCTCATTATAGTTGAAGTAAGCTGTGGTGTCTGCATCATAACGGGGGTGTGCATTGTCTGTTCTCTATTCAACCACATGCTATCACTACTACTACTTTCTTCAGCTGGAAGGAAGAAAGTAAGTAATATCAATTAAGCATAGTGACCAATATACATCACAAACAGATTTTATAAGACATGACCAGTCAAAGGAGCTAGACCTACTCTACCATTAAAGGTTCATTTTTAAGTGTTTGTATGTGTGTGTGTGTGTGTGTGTGTATGTATACGTACATACATTAGTTATCTGGTGCCCAACAGACCAGGCACGATGGGAAATGGATAAGGAAACAGACATCTTACTTTTCAAATTTATATCCCAAGCTCTTGGCATAGGGTCTGGCATGTGGTAAGTGTTTAATAAATGCTTTTCCATTGATTCATTCACTTGTCAACTCAAGCTATCACCATTTCTAATGAATGTTTTGATCAAGAAGCATTTTCAATACCTTGTCATCGCAATAAAGCCAAAAGAATCAAGAAACTGCTTCAATAAGCATATATTTAATTTCCTTTTTAAAGACAAAAAAGGGTATCATCATTTTCAAAGAGAAACTCATTTGCAAATTTTGAGAAAATATAGGGGAAAATTATGAGTAATACTATTTTATAAAAGACCAAGAAGTAATGAGGGGAGAGGGAAAGCAGTCTGCAAAGTTTGAGGCAAGTATAAATTTAAGTCCTGAAGCATTTAATGATGAAAATGGAAGGGAGATAACAGAAAAATGGAAAAGATCTGTCAAAATTTCTATAAAGAATTACTTTTTCATCAATGTTAGTGGAGGTTCCACATTTGGACTCTTAACATCACATACTACACTAGAAAGAAGAAAAGGCACTAAAAAAAAAGGAAGAGCAGCTGGACCAGACCAAGTAAATAAAGAAGAGGTCTGTACAGTATGTGATACAATTTTAAGGGCATTGAAAATTGATTCTCACGACATCTGAAAGAAGAGAAGACACTGAATGATAGGAAAAATATTGTCCGATCCAACTACCAAAAAAAAAAAAAAAAATGATCGAGTGAACATCAATAACTACTTTTTCATCTTAAGGAAATCTGAGAATAAGAGCATCCCCGATAACATGAAGGTCGTCACAAAATATATTCTATTTACATATATTCTATTCTGTATTCTTCTAATATATTTGTAGTCACATGACTGATAGCTACAGAAAAGACAAAGTACTGTTTGGTGACTATAAAAAAGTCACTTTTTTAGAATTCAGAAGAACAAAATGTTACCTTGTAGACTCTAATCCAATAGAGTTTATAACCCATTCAAATGTTAAAATGTTATGATTCTATAAAAGACGCCAACAAAAATTACCATGATCATACCCTCATTGTTAGTATTAAGTGAGGCATAAAAGGAGATACCCATGCCATCAGTACATGAAGATTAAATATCTGGCAAGTCAAAAAAAAAACAATTAAAGAATGAGTTATAACAATAATTCCAACACAGGGAGTCCCAAAGAATTAGTAGCGTATACTACCACAATTTTAAAGAGAACCCGAAATGTTTCTTCTTATGAAAAGCAATGAGAGACTTTCAGTGCACTGTGCTTTGCATTGGAGCACACAAGAGAAAAGAGTATCTTCCCACGAGAAGCTTACATCTACATCTGTGCCTTTATAGATAATGACTTCACCACAGAGAAATGTTCTTGAGCAAGAGTCAAAAGGAATTAAAGGACAATAATCTTATAGGAGTTAATGAGAGAAGTTCATACATAGGGTGCAGTGCCCACATATTCCTGATCTATGGAAGATGTATCAGTATTTTATTACAATCTTTAACTACAGGAGGAAGAGATTTAGTATAAGAACAGCACCACACTCAACAGTGTAACCTAATAAGTAGAAATAAGATTCAGAAACTAGACTGTATCTTATTTCTTTCAAATGATAATGAGTACAAAGGATCTATAGAACTACAGAAAGAATAGTTTTAAGAGTCCTACCTCACCAAATATTATAAATTCAGAGCAGAAGGAAAAAATATTTATAAAATAAACTAAGGAAGGCTAAAATAACCTTTGCAGAAAGGCTTTTCTCTCTTAACACCAAATAATGCTAAATATGTAAAATATGAGTGTCTTCTATCTGAACCTTAGAATCTGTTTTCTGCTATCAAAATAAAGATAGATTTCAATCAATACCTTGTCTATGACTACAGAAAATGAAAACCTCAGGAATGCCATTGACCTAGTCTATTGTAGGCCAACAAACTGTACAATGCTCTAAGGAGACACTGATCAGAAATATCAAATGGAAAAACTGGCACAATCAACTGGCTTCCCCAACACAATGCACTGTGAGAGAGAAAAACCATCCTATTGTATGAATACAACATTCCTTCCAAAATCACAGAGAAATGGGATTTGGATTGTCTAGGTCACTGTTCTTCTCCATTATCAGAAGTAACAGTAATCCATTTTAAAGAGGAAAGGTATGTTGAGAGTAAATGAATTATATAGACTCTCAAGCAAGTTGTTAGGGGATCAGTGCCCATTTTTCACTGCTTAATTCCTTTTACAGAACTATATTACACTTCATTTTTCTTGTCATTAGGTGCTAGCTGCCAAATCCTGCACAGATGTAATTAACTAGGCAAGCTCTAAAAGTAGGCTTCATCTAAAAAGCAGAAGACGCCTATGGCCTAAATCTCCAATTCACCAGATTCATTCATTTTCCAGTGATAAAAGTAAGCATGGTATAGTGAAGAGTAGGGGCAGGACTTGAAGATCTAGGTTAAACTCCTGGCCTGACATTTATTGGCTGTGTGATCCTGGGCAAGTCACTCCACCTATTTGAGCCTCAGTCAAATAAATAAATTCTCTAATAAATTATCTAAGAACACTTAGGGCAAACTTCATCTCCACAATGATCACATTACAATTCAGAATATTAACTAAAGGACCAAGAAGTCAAGAATTCTATACAAATAAACATTTCATGACACAAATATATACATACATACATTATATATATATAAAAAAGAGAGAGAGAGAGAGAGAGAGAGAGAGAGAAAGTAATATGCTGTACATAGTATGAAGGGACTCGTGGACTAAAAGACATGAATTTCCATTCTAGTTATGTAGAAGTCAGTTGGGACAAGGTAATTTTCAAAGAACTATTCCAACTTTTTGATGCAAGAGATACTATAGAACATTAGATTTGTCCAGTTAAAACTGAAATGCACTTCTAATTTAAAAAAGTAATATTTTCATATTGAGGCTATAAATGTCTTCATAGATTATTAAAAAGGAAGGAGGGATACTTAATGAAGGAAGGATACTTAACCTTCAGGTAATTTTCGTTTTCCTGTTGCTGGCTTTGATTTTTTATTCCTCACAGTTGATCCCCGACTGCTAATTCCACTGATGACTGACATGGTGTCATCATCACCTCCAGCTAATAAAGAATTCCTATAAGACATCAAAGGAAGCCACACATCTTCTCTTCGGAGTGACATCTGAAAGGTCATGAACTTTTCGAGATAAACATACCTTAAAGAGAAGTAATAATGGTTACAAATGTTTTTCTATTCAATTAAAATACATACCTATCACATAATGCTAGTGGGCTTAGAAAAAGTCAAGATGAAGAGAGCTTGCTAAAGTGGTTGGTACCACATATTTTACTTTTCAACTGTAAAATCTTTATTATAAAATCCCTTCTATAGTCATGTTTACCTTCAAAAAGTTTTCACTAAGACTATACTGCTAGGTTAAAACACACATGCACATGTGAAACATACAAACTATGTGAACTTACCAAATACATAATCCTTTTCTAATTTTTTTTTCTCCCCCTAAAAAACTTTCCAGGAAACGTTACTCATTTAGTTTCTTCAACATTTTGTTATACAAGACATAATCATTCCTCTTAACTGAAAAACTCAAAGACCAGGTTTCAGTGATTTGGTTCAATTTAGGGTATGTAAGATACAGCCTATTGTATCCAGTGTTCCAGTGTTACTAAAATCTCTAAGTTTACTTTAACCACTTTTCTATGTAGGATAGTACAGTACCAAGGAAAAATGCTCATCACTTCAACTGTATGAATACTGTAAAGGAGTGCCCAGGTCTTCTCTTTCATGTACGTAGCAGAAGGGCTCTAAAAGTCATTACTTGAGACTTTAATATGATGGATAATACTGCATGTTTGATTCTCAGATCAATATAGGGCTCTCTTTCCCAGGTGAAAGAAAGGTTAAGTCATAGAAGATATGGCATCCAGATCATCTATAATTAGGGCATGTAACTGACACTACGTAGTCCCTTCCCCCTCCAAACCAGGGGTGAAGAAAATCCATACAATTGTACTGTACTTTTTGAGAATATATTCAAATTTTAAAAGGAAGGGTTGAAACTTTCAAGATTAAATTTACTTGACAATATTTTAATATATCATATGAAGCTAAACTAGAAGTTCTCTGAATACCTCTCTCAACATTTTAAACAGGGACACTAAACAAGTAAACGTTATACTCTTGTATATTGTAATATAAATGTTCAATAAGTAAATGTTATATTCAACAATATTCTTAATGGATAAAATTGTTCCAAAATACAGTACCAATAATTGTAAGCCAGGAGCATTCCTATGCTTACTATTATTAGAACATATTGAGCCTTAATGCAATCCTGGAATTCAAGGCAAAGAGGAAGCATAAAATGCATAAATGTTGCTTTAGAATTTCCAAAATTAAATATTTCAGTTGGAGGATAGATATTAAATACTTACACTGTTCTCTTATCTTGTCGGAGAAGTTTAGAAGAAAATTCACTCAAAATATCAAGAAATGCCAAATTTAAAGGTGGATGGCTTTCACCTTGTGGATTAGGTTCCTTAAATGCAAATTCTATCCCATCCCTAGAAAGAGAAGGACATAATGAATATCTGAAAGAATATCATTCAAATGTGATATTATAGAATGGAAGAAATGTATCTGGATAATTTTTCCACTAACAAGATGGATAGAACAGATTTATGTTTGTGTCTACAGATTCAGATATACAAATAAGAAGTGGATGAAAGAAAAACGGTGACAAGCGAGAAAGAGCAATTATTTTATTCCTTGATTTACTGGCCAGGATGATTCTATCTTTGCTAAAAGCAATATAGATATTGTATGATTACATAACTTCTGGGATGTTCTTTGCATCTCACCCAGAAAGAGCCCAAATTCTTCCAGGTAGTGGACTAACTCAAAGCAATTGAACATTGTACATTATAAGAGTGTTTGGATAGTATCACACCATGACCCAACAAGGAAGCCTCCAGAGGCTGTTAAGTGGAGGATTTAACGAAGGATATAGACAAGAATCACACCGGAAAAGGCAGCGAACACGGTAAGATTGCAATCTACACTTGCGTCAAGTGTAGCCACGTTGATGAAATCACAAGTTCAAAGTAAAATAAAGCAATTAAGTCAGCTGTAGAAACATACTCTTTTAATGATCAAACCATTCACTGAAGTTTAGGTAGAGAAGGGACAAAATAGCAAGCTAGCAGTAACAAAATGAACAAAAATTTCAACAACAGTGTAACTGGACTCCCCACAAGGCCTGGAGTGGTACCTGGGAGTACAGCAATGCTTCAATTAAGAAAGAGATGTACTCCGATTACAGAAACACCAACAGTAACTTTATTAAGAGAACAAGAAACACAATATAGACTAAAAGGGTAGGAAAGGAGAAGATGCCTAGGGTTACTATAGGAAAAATAATACAAAAGGTATGGATCTGGGAACTCAGGGGCAAAGGTAGGAAAAACACAGTTCAGAATAGGAAAGGTGCCATGACTTGTAGCTGGAAATGAAAGTCTGAAGGTAAGGCAGGCTGCCTGACAATGAATGCAAGCTGACTGTTTTGGGGGTAGGAGAGAGTACTTTTGATATCGGTAACTGCAGGGGACTCTTGCCAAACAAAGAATATCACCTGACCTGCTTTGAAATTTCTAAAATTCTTTTAATTGGAGAGATAGGGATGTGGGCAAAGTCTTTCATTACATAGAGGTAAAAGTACAGGTAAATAGAGATAAAACAAAAGTATCTATACCTAGGTTAGATAAATCATTGAGAACTGCTCAGTCAATATAATACAACTGATATCATACCATATACTACTTTACTAAGGCAAAAAAGGGAAAGAACAGGGATCAGAAATAAGGGGGGCATAATTACCATGGGATGAAAAAGTTACAAGAAAGGCTACTGAGGACACAAAAGAAACTTCCCATGATACCCAACATTGCCTATGATAAACACTCTTTACCTTCAACTAAGAAGAACTAGAAATTGTACAGAGAGATGTTTGTTATCATGCCTGAATGCATGTATATCCCTACTTCCTGTGATTTATGAAGATTTGGAGTGTGGTTTATTTTATAAAGGAGCTCCATTTCCAGATTCACTAATGGAGGTATCACTAGATCTATTTTTTTTCAATCCTAAGAATGGAGAATTTATAATAAAAGACAAGTCCATATGCTAAAGTATTATATATCAGCCCAACAATTTTCTCAATTCTGAAAAAGATTCAAATCCTAATTTTGCAAACGCCTGCAATATGTAGAGCACAGAATAGGGGAGAGAGCACTGGATCTGAAGCGAAGGAGCCAAGACTCTTGTCCCAGCTTTACCACTTACTAACTCCATAACATTGGGCAAGTCACCTTCCCATTTTCATAATCCATAAAATAAGGGTGATATTTGAACTGCCTACCCTCACAGGTTTGTCATGAGGAACAAACAAGTATATGTACGCTTATAAACTTTAAGGTATTATATTAATTAATGTCAGCCATTATGATTAGTTGAATTCAACAAAATATTGGGAAATTACTTGTGTAACATGGCGATGGCTTCTCTTGTTTTCAACTGATCAAGTCCAAAAGTTAAAGCAAAACGTCGGGCAAGTTCTTTAATACCACTGAATGTTGGTGATGATCTGTCAAAATTATACCCATTTTCTTGTATCATTTCGTTGAACAGCTGTTTGGAATCAAAGAAAACATTTGGGGTTTTTTTGGGTTGCTAATATTAATAATTAGTATAAACACTTCTATACCTAATCTGTAATAAATATTTAATATCGTACAAATTAATAAAGAAGTACTTTAAGCTGGCGTCAGTTATCCTCTTTAGATCTTTTGAGTTAAGCCAAGGCAAAACTATTTCCTGGTGGTTTCAACAATTACGAACCTAATGAATACGATGAAACAAAGCCCAGCACATTAATTATATCCATAGCTATCAAATCAGAGGGGGTTATTGCTGTTCTGAATTTTTTCTTTATCTATACAAGAGGCAAATAGGCATGTGATTTACTTAGGAAAAAAAGGCTTCTTGGTTTGAATATTAAATAATGTTCTTGAAAGAATCAATAATTAAATACTTAAAACTATTCATTCTTACCTGCTGTAAACTGAGAATAAGCGTCTTTGCACACTGGATTTTGTCTATCTGCCTTGTTTTACTCATTGTTTCTTTTATAATATCTCCATAATCATTGTAATACTAAAAAAGAAATTTGCACGTATTAAGTGAACTTTACGTCATAAAGAAACACTTGTGATTGGTAGGTAGACAGACAGTAAAGGATAGTGGAAAGAAAGCTGGGGTGGACATCAGAAGAATTATATTCTCATGCTAGCTTTGCCACTAATTAGCTCTGTGGTTTTGGGAAAGCCACAAATTCCCAGCCTCAGACTCCTCATCTACTAAATGGGAACAAATGATGCCCTATGTACCTAGAAAGGTTTATGGTAAAGAATAAATAAAATATGCAATATCTTATTAATTAATAATAATCCAAGGTCAGTTGATAGTCTGTGATTGATTTAAATGTTATTGTTTATCAACCTGGAATCTAGAAAAGGGAGCAGGAATGAAACATTTGTACACCATGTCCAAGGTGAAGAAATATTATCTGGTGAAAAAGAAAATTCTGATCAATAGAGAGGTATACTCAATGGGAGAACAGAAATAATCTACGCTTTATTACAGCCTAAAGTACCTCATAACACTATCCAATTCCCTTTGCATTGATTCCATACTTACAATGTAACCGTCTAAATTGGTAATTTGGTTTCCCAGCTAGCTTGGGGTGCCCTGGGTATTGAGAATTAGTATTCTGGTTGCAATGTATCTCCCACAGTAAATTAATAAATTGGCATTCTGGTTTATAAATCCCTCTTGTGAATTTGGTTAGCATAAATTATTCCCCTAGTACCTGATCACCCCTGGGTAATAAGATAAAAATGAGTTTCTGGGCCTGCAAGACTGCAGAGCAGCCTCCAAAATACTGACAATAAGCTGTACAATCTTACAAAATAAAAACCCAAATTGCTTTCTAGCAAAAAAAAACAAATGCCAAATATCTTTTCCACGAAATGCTATCATTTATTTACTAAGTACCACATACAAGTCAGTTCTAGCACAACAATGAGAGAAGACGCTGGGCCAGGGAAAGGATCGTGGTACGCTTCATGAACAAAGTGGTACATTCTCCAAATGTGAAAAATATTCTGTTACAAACATTCACATTTACCTTCATATATTGCTTGAAAATATCCGCAGCTGTATTCATTTCCACCACAGTATATACAATTAGTTTACAAAAAGCTGCAAGTAAATTTCTCCGCTTGTGCAGTGCTTCAATTTTACTAGCTTCATCATCCTGCTGTCCATCTGAAAAAAGGCCTAAATATTAAACTATGAGGTTTTTAGCTACTTATTCAATACTATGATTGATTCAATACTGAAAAACATCTGTTCAAAAAAAGAAAGAGGGATTTAAGAAAACCTTTTGAATACCAGTTTCTCACAAATCTGCTGGAAAAGGGACAGTGAATTTTCCCACTCCTCCATTCAAGGCCTCGAGTGATGTCTCATTGTCACATGGAAGTGAGCCAGGATTCTCAAGCTGTGCTGGCAGAGCCTGGCAAGTCCTAATAAGCCAGAAAGCCTTCCAGAATGGTCCCCCATAAGGACCAGCCTTAATTACAAAAAAGCTCATCTGCAGGTTGGGCCATGGCATACCAGCTCTAAATGACCAATTCCTAAAATAAAGAGGGGCTGCAGTCTGCTCTTGTAGAACTGAAACCAATTGATAGGTATTGTACCCTTTGAGAGCAATTGTTTCGTTTTTAACTATTGGATTTTATACATATCTTACCAACAAAATATAAGGAACATAATTTAGTTTTGTGATGATTCAAATCACCATTATAGGTACCAATTATTGTACTAGGCTGGAATACAATGATTAGGGCTGGAGTCAAACATTTAAAGCAATTTGTCCCTATGCAAAAATCATCCCAGACTGCTTTTTTTTTTTTGAGTACCTATCTGATTTCTGTAGACTTTTCATCACCTCCCATGCTGTTAAATTGGGTTCTCACGGAAGATAGCATGCCTAAGGAACAACACTTGCTTCTCCCTACTTCCTCTTTCTAATCTGAGACTTTTAATCTGCTGTGGGATGGGGAAAAACGACAATTAAGCTTGTTCAAATGGTACCTAAACTAAGGGATCAACAACCACAAGGAGTTTCACAAAGAGTCAAGTATACAGAACTGCACTGAATTGTATGAGTTAAACTAAATGACCTCAAAGATCCCTTGCCAATATGGTGATTCTGTGATTTGAACTTTATGACATCAGAACAAGATGATCTCTGAGGTCCTTTCTAACTTTGAAAATCCATTGTAAAGGATGTTACTCAACATCCTTGTTTAGCTCCAGATTTGCGTGCGCACGTACACACACACACCCCCCTATGACCTACACGGAAGTGAGTCCTCATAATCACATGTTTTGGAGAAAATCATAAATTATGTTTGTTACGTGGTAAAAAATCTTTAATCTCATCTTTTAAAAATCTTAATAGTCCTATATCTTTAGATTCCAATTTACAATAATTTATAGGTTACAGATGTTTATAAACATGCTGGTGCTTTAAGTTTTGTTTTAAGTAGAGCATAACATCAAAAATGTGAGAAATAATAAAATCATGTTACCTTTCCTTGTAAAGGCTATAAGAGAAAATCAAATTGTCTATGAAATTTTAGTTAAATACAGAGAAATCTGGCATAATTTTTTCCCCAGAACATTTGTATTATCTTGACTATTCTGCAGAATAGTTCAGAAATGAATTCAGAAAATTAAGGGGTATATTTTAAAAGGAATTTAGAAAAAAATTATTTTTTTCAGAATAATGCATAGTACTATATTATTTTACTGGAATTAATGAAATCTTTAAGCATTGAGATAAGTAAATGGCCCTAATGAAAAGTCAAGAGCATTTGAGCAATATATAATCTAGGTTATTAAATATCTTCCAAAATATATGTAGTTTAAAATCTTCAGTAAGTATACCTTTCACCTGAACTTATACTATGAAGATTACCTGCACTATTGTTATCATCATCCTGGTCAATGAAGACATGATCCAGAATAAAGCTGAGCAATTCAGACTGCAATGAAGAATCAGGAGTGTAAACTAGCGGCTCTAACATGTCCCGTCCTCCTGACATAATCTGATGGCTGGAGATCATCAACACATCACACAAAATAGTGAAGGCCTGAATAAAAAAATTAAAAATTTTATAAATCAACATTTTAAACTAAATTTCTACTCCCCAACATAAAATTCCCAAAACAACGACAGTTATCTTGAAAACTTTTCTGAGATATTGAAAAAATTTTTTTATCTCCATAAGGCTGTTTTCAGGCATTTCTCAAATTGCCAACAACTGACAACAAGATCCTCAAAGAAATAATGGTATCAAATCCTCACTGGTGTTTTCAATTGAGATTATAATTGTCACTTTTTAAAGCATAGCATGTTTCCAAAGTATGTGCATATTTAACTTTTGTAGAATCCCTTATATACGCAGGGAATACTTAGCAAAAGCTACCTCAAGTAGGGGGCCCTCACTGCCACTACTTGGGATTCCTTTATCCTTAACAATCACCTCTGGCTGCTGCTTGAGAATACCTATCCCATTTTCCATGTTGTCCCAAGAGTGACCATCTTCAAAGTCTTCAAGGTATCCAATCTGCTCTTACTTCAAAATTGTACATACCTAAAGACCTAGATATCAGACTTGGTCTTTTCCTATAGGGTGTGGAGGAGTGGGGGATTTGGAAGGGCAGTACAAGATTTTATTAAAGGGGTAAGGAACAGGGATCTACAACAGGGCTAAAATTATGGCAATGAGTTTCTACCAGAAGGAAGATCTCACCTCTGTGATACGTGTGTATGTAAAAAGCATACATGATATATGTGTATGTGTGTGTATATATATGTGTATGTACATATATGTATACATATGTATATGTGACATATATGTGATACATGTGTGTGTATACATGAGAGCATATGATCATATGCTTTCAAAGCTCCAAGCAAATTGCTAGCCAATAAACTCTTAAAAATCAGTTTCTATGCTATGAAATGAATATTAGCTGGACTCTCAAAAGAGGGTTTCACGAAGAAGATGGGCTGGTAAGAGCAAATTCTTGGAGTAAATTCATTCCAACTGCATCCTCAATTCTATCATATTCAAGCCTAATAATTTGAGCAACTTGAGTTTTGCATTATAAATTAAGATTTATTTCAAAATTATATTCAGCTGTCTAACTCCCTACCAAACAACATGGCATATTAAATAACTATCCAAATGTTATCATTAGTTACAAAATGAAGAAATTAACCTGTTCTTTAACAGCAGTATTCACATTGGTCAGGTAATGCTGACAAATCTGACAGAACACCCTCATTTGTTTCTTTAAACGAAGTAGGTCTTCCTGCAAAATAATTTATGACAAATGAAAATTAAAAGCATATATTTTGAATCCTGTTTTCTCAAAAACCATTCTCATAGACATTTTCACATATTACTCTACTACAATCAAGATATAAAAGAAAAAAATTCAAGTGCCATACTATCAAAATGCTAACAAATGCTAATTAACTAATGGTTAACTAACAAATATTCATTTATAAAAACAACTGCCTTCTTTTGCATGAAAAAAGTATCACACATGACTGATTTTTATCAAATAGAAAGAAAACCTCAGATTTTTCTAGAATGTATCCTCTAGTACTCCAGAATTCAGTAGTATGGGAAGGCTTCTAAAACTGCATATGGCAACACAACCCTGCATAAATTAAGGCTGACTATTGAGTATACTGCAATGTGATTTCTTCTATATCAATCCCTTTTTCCTTAAAAGAATGTTGATGAGCTAGTGTAAGTTGCAAAGCTTTTCATTATACAGAAAACTATTAACTTATGAAACTTTTAAAAACCAAAATTGTAGGAAAACTCACTGAGGATTTTCTACTTAATTTGTTTTGATAAGTCTTTGAAAAGACCCTTATAATTTACCTCTCCAATTCATTTAACTATGAAGACTAAGTTTTACTCTCATTTATTGGGAAATTGAGTGTTCTTAAAGGTCAATCCTAGCTTAGAACGAGAGCATAAAAAAAAAACATTGAGTCCAACATCTTCACTTTAATGATGAGGAAACTGAGGCCCAGGGAGATGAAGTGACTTGCAGCAGGACATACTTCACTTTTCACCTAGTCATTCCAGTAGTTTTTTCCTTTTTTTTTTGAGTAATACATGCTGAAACATGTTTGGTCTTTCAACAGCTCTCAATGTGTGCTTCTGAAATGCTGTTTGCATCTATATTAAACAGCCAAGCATGATTTATAAGTTTAAAATAAGAAAAGTTTTGTCTACACATAAAACAAATTTCAATAATCACATTAAAAATATTTAAAATTGACTAGAGCCAGAAGGACTTAATTTCAGTCAAGCAAGTGTGCACAGCAAGTAGGATGGGTGTAAGAGGACATTCAAATAACTAGTCCTTTTTGAACAGATCTCTATATTATCTGTACTAACATTTAACTACTGAATAGCATAAGACTATTAACACATACCTTGGTGGAGCTGCTTTCAGTAATTTTTGCTAGCTGCCAAAGGATTACATAGTGAGTACACTGCAATGCATGAATAACAATCTATAAAAATAAACAAAAAAAAATTAGGAATGAAAAATCAAATGTTTCTAGAATCCAATTTACAAACACAACTTTTAAATACAAACCTGTTCAGGCATGTCTCCATTTTCAATACCAGTTTTCAATAACTTGTAATTACAACCAAACAAATCCCATCGTGAAAGATCATGGGTACTGGAAGAGATTTTAAAAAGGCCAAGTCATTAAAAAGCCAAATTTAATCACTTTAGTTTGGAACATTATTGTTAATGGAATATTTATTGTTAGATTAATCACAATAAGCCCCTTGTCTCCACAAAAACAAGAAACAAATCCAAATAAAAACTTTCCCTCAAAGCTATTTTTTAAAATTTGCTTATAGCATTTTGAAATTGGTTTTCAATTCAAAATTTAAGTTTCAGTATATTGAAGAATGCTTAATTATAAGGATAATTATAAGGTTCTTCAACCTCAGGAAATTTCTCCAAGAATAATGTAGCTAAATCCACAATGTGAAATAAATTAAGAGTCTACTGATGGGGTCTTGGGAATTGTTAGGAACCTTTACTAGTCCTTCAGATAAAACATAAAATCTACAATATCTTTTAACAGGCAATCATCTAACCACTGAGAAGCAGTCATTAGTAACATCTTATACCAAGGTATCTCTCTCTACCTACCTACCAAAGCAGCCTGTTCCATTCTGAGAGAGTAATAATCATCAGAAACTCCTCCTTAAAAGTGAAGCAAAATCTGCTTCACTGAAGCTTCCCAACTACTGGTTCTACACTCTGGGGCCCAGTAAAATAGACCATAAAAGGTAACACTTACTTGTGAAAAGCAGTGATCCTTTTTAATGTTGACAGGACCTGATACGCATCATCCTCATCAGGTTCTTCCCCCTATTGATATTAGTTTTACAATGTAAGACGCTACAAATCACTACAGGAAAAGTCCTAGCTGTTCAAAACAAACCACTGCCTTGAAGACAGAAGTATAAGATGGGCAACAGCAACAGAACAACTACAATTTTCATTCCTGTTTCAAGGCCTGCAACCATTTTAGAGACATTGCAAATAGGATATAACAAGTGTTATATCACAGATACGTTACAAATAAAGGATGAATGGGGACAGAAATAAATAGATGGACATTCTCTTTTCCCATCCAGAAAAAGAAGGTGCTCCAGAAGGAACACCTAAGGGAGAAACAATAAAGAAAATACTATCGCAACAAGTACCAAATGCATATCACAAGAAACTCTCAAGGAAATATGAGCTAAATCCATGTAAAAGGAGAAGACATTAAATAAAATAAAATCTAAAGTAAAAATCTAAATGTTGTAATAAACTGATGTTAAGTCATTTTAGTTGTGTCTGACTCCTAGTGACCTCACAGAGATTTTCTTGGCAGAGATACTGGAGTGGTATGCCATTTCCTTCTCCAACATATTTTACAGATGCGGAAACTGAGGCAAACAAGGTTAAGAGACTTGCATGGGGTTTACACAGCTAGTAAGTGTCTGAGGTCAGATCTGAACACAGGAAGATAAGTCTCCAAACCTGGCACTCTATCCACTGTGACATCTAGTTGTAATAAACAGTTCCAGGTATTCGAGTTTACAAAGCACTATATTCTCATTTGAAACTGAAAGGTAATGTGGTTTAGTGGACAGAGTCAAAAGTAGGTGGCAAGAAGATGTGGGACAAATATCTGTTAGCTATGTGGCAAGTCCAGTTAATTCAGCTGTCTCAAATTAAAAAGAAGACTGTGTCTGCCACAGAGACATGATGATTAAACTTGCAAACTGTAAAGAAATGCACTTTAGTTATTATTATCATCCCCATATCAAGATGAGGAGACTAAGGCTGAGAAGTTAAGAAACTCCAAATCCAGAGTAATCATTAAAAAAAAATGCTAGATGAATAAGGGAATATTATTGTGCCAAGTTACTATGCAGTACTATTATGTCTCCTTGCCATTTCTAGAGTAACATATTGCATCTCCCTGTAATGAAGAAATACCTCTTCCGACTTACTACAGTTCTCAATAGCTTCTAACCTGATAACTAAGATAGCAACAGAACGGTTTCCCTAAAGGTAGATTTCGTTCTGTATGTACATACCCTTTTAACTAGCTAACCTACAGGCCTGGAAATCTCACCCTCCTAAAATCTTACCTGCAAGAAGGCTTTCCCATCCCTCTTCAATGCTACTGCTTGCTAAGTTATCCTACTTGCCTTGTTTGTACATATTTGTTTGCATGTTGTCTCCCCAAATACAACGTGAGCTCCTTGAGAACAGGGACTGTTTTAACTTTTCGGTGTGTCACCAACAAGCCTAAAACATGGTAAGCTCAGTAAAGGCTTGTTGACTTGACTAGACAAGTGCCTATCTCCAAATCCTGCATTACCTCATAAGGCTGAGATGATTATGTGAAATGTTTTGAAAACCTTAAGTTGCTATACAAACGTAAACTATTATCCTCATCATCATCCCATTCATTTGGATCAGTGCTATGAACTACTCTTTGATCCTCTTCTTTCCCCCATTGTTAGCCTTACCTTTCTTCTTCAGCTTCAGGCCATTCATAATCTAGTGAACTGTGTGAAGCTGTTCCATGCAAGTTCATCAACAACCTGTCAACTAATACTTCTATTTTTGCCTAGATCTAGTTCCAAGTTCTGATTTATCACCTTTCCATAGTTTCAGATAAAATCACTATCAACCTCTAAAATATGAACATTAGGGGCCTCTATTTTGTAATGAGCGGTATGGCAAGTGTCAAAAATGCAAATTTGACCACCATTCTACTGAACAAGTAATTATAATCTAAGTTCATGGTATACTGAGGATGTTGCCCCATGGGCAAAAAGGACAAATACCTCTTGCAGAAAATCTTCAAGAAGTCGATTAAACTTATCCGCCAATTCATCTATCAATTGACTTCTGGCAATATCTACTCTGTTAAATATGGTGAACTCTTCATTACAGAGTGCATGATATGTTTTAGAACAAGCTTCCAATACATCCGTATCTGTGTGCTTCTCTACAATATCCCGGATTTGTCGTAATAAGGCATCCAAATGCTGCAAAAAAGTCAATTAACATCTGTCAGTAAAACAAAGATATCTACAAAATGTCTACCATAATAAGAGAAAGATGCAACACTAACAGAAATCAATAAAGCTCATAGTATGAGAGTCAGTAGCCATACTACACTGTCCCACCTTTTGTAGCCAACAACATAGATTCATACCAAGGCTATACAAGGAAATTGAGAACCAAAATATTTCACACGAAGAACAAACCCATATTTGTAACCACCATTCTTTTCTAAACAAATAAGCTAGGATATAAGACTATCAAATAATAGCCCATTTGTGAATGAAGAGACTGGAAAATAAATTTAAAGTAGAAAAACAGCATTTAATGTATGTTTATTTCATATCAACTCTATAGAATTTATAATTAATATAAATGCTGATTATTTAAAGTGATACCACTTGTTCCTAAATTAGACTATTTTATGGATAAAAGACAAAAATTTTCAGTGTAATAATATATTAGGAAATGAAGGGAGGGAAGATTTCCTGATTGTGCCTTCCCGAGCTACTATAGATTTTTATTATGAACTGTGGCACTTACATAGACATTGATACCTAATTAAAGTTATTAACTTGTATTTGAGCATAATTTTGAACACAAACCTATAGAATCTAATGGAACAGACATAATTGTTTAAGGTTTAACACTATATATGTAGATATCATCTTACCTTCTCTAATCGGCCAGTTGTATAGATTTCCAAATCAAAGTACTGAGGCAACTGCAGCAAGTTAGTTACTTTTTCTGCATCTATAGAGTACTGTGAAATAAAAAAAAAAAACACAGTGAGAAAATAATAGCAATGTTAAATAAGCATTATCAGTAACAGTGTATTTGTAAAATAGTGTATTTGTAAAGTAATTACACATAAGTAGTTTCTAAGTGACAGTCAGTAGTAAATGACGCTGAGATAACTTCTTAACTTACTTTTGCTAACAACTGAGGAAGGGCTACCGCAAACAGTTCAGTAATTCTTGTTCTATCATCTAGTTGGGTCTTTTTCTCCTTTGCAGTCAGAACCTAAATTTAGATGACACATTAAGTGCACTAAATGGCAAAATTTAAAAAATACAAACACATGTAACCTCTCTTGTGGCACTTACAACATTGTTTTGAATTATTCCATTCATTGAAGAATTTTACTCTGCCTTACTTTCAATAAAAATCTCAGATAAAAAAATAACTACAAACTCTAAATTATACTTTTTATCTGCTATTAAATATCATAGTATTAAAATTCATCAATTGAAGAGGATAACTACTGTTGCTATATATCAACATGAGCAGGTTATTTATACTAAAAATCTGGAAAATCAAGTTAAGTAAAAAAAATCATTTTTCCCATTTTTTTAAAAAACCAGGAAGAGAAATCAATATGTCCTACCCAACAACCCCTCATATCTACCTTTGAAAAACAGGAATAAAACTGAAACCAGGGATTACATGAGAATATACTTTACTTTACTGTACTCTTCTTCTGAAACCATGTATAGGAAATAAAAATCTATTTGTGAGCTCTGTAATATTGTATTAAAGATAACGTAAACCAGAGTAAAAAATGCTGAGTTATTTTGATAACAGCCAAACTGAAATCAACAGTAGATGAACCTAAAACAAACATTAAAATAAAAAGGGAACTAGACCACAAGAAATCAACAAAAACATCAGGCTTAAACTTAGACAAAATAAAAAAAAGTCTATTTAACTTATAAATTCAAATTATGAATGCCCCAAATCAACTGAAAAAAAAAAATGAAATAATGAAAATGAAAGACATGTAAGAAAGCTAGAAAGCAAATTCATAATGTCTGAAAAGAAAACTCAAGATCTTCAGTACAGTCATACCCTTTTTCCTGTCCCTCTTCCCACAGGAGGATGGCATTCGGCTGCTTGTCGAATGGTACAGAGCATTATTTCAATAAGCGCACTCTCCTGTCTGTCGGTTAATGCTGCAAATGAGAGACTTAATCAACTCTACCATCACATGACTTGAAGTAATTATTCTGTAACTGGCTCTCCTGTCTATAACCAGGTTTTAAGAGACTCATTCTTCTCAGATGAAGTTTACCTCAAAAAATGCTCCCAGTAGCTGCATCCTACAATATAATACACACACACACACATACACACACACACACACACACACGATAGATAGATGTCCCAAAAATTAGTTTTAAGAACACTACTGGGAAACCACATAAGCGCACACCCACATATATCATCTGAAATTATTTAATGTAATAATTTATGTAAAATTATATATATATATATATATAATTATATCACTATTAGCATATTATATGAACTATTTAAAAATCAAGCCTGATTAAGCCAGAGATCTAATTTCCAAAGAGTCTAGAAAGACTACAGTTAACTTTCTTACGTTCTTCTCCACTGAGTGGTTCTTCCAACAGCAAACTATTCATACATTCCCAGTCCTTCAGCAGCTCTGTAGCACAGTCCCACATGCTATCCACAAGGTATGCTGCATGTTCATGCAACTGCAATGAACATAAATATGTTTTTAGTTAAAAATTTAACTGCTTCACATCACATCCCTTGCAGGGACTGCCTGCTATTTCTTGCCACCAAACAAATGACTAAGATTTACAAAGAAGAAAGAATCAGCACAAAACAGAAAGGAAAAACTGCAGGTAATTTTTCTAGTTGGATCATGACCTGAAATCACAGCAAACTCTGAGAATGGTTCCTGGTAATGACATATGATAAGCTTTATGGAAAAGAAATTGGGACACTTTTTAAATGGCTAAAAAAACTGTGGTACATGTATGAAATATTACTGTGCCACAAAAATATGATGAATACAGAGAAGAATGGAAAAATTTAAATGAAATGATACGATGTGAATTAAAACATTAAAAAAATTATATACACAATGATTACACCAATGTAAACAGAAAGAACCACAAACAATCAAAGATCTTTGCTGCAAAATTACAGAGAACAAGGAAGAAATATGAGAAGGGATCTGCTTCTCCCTCCACCCCTAAATCCTTTGCATAGGTGGATGACCCACATATGTGAAATGCAGCATGTACTCTCAGATTCTAACAAATCTTTCCTAAATTTTTTCTGAATATTCTTTTTTTAAAAAATTTCTTTATTAAAAGGGATGCCTCTCAGGGAAAGGGGAGAAGGGGAATTTGAAATAAAGGATGAAGTCTAGGTGAAGTAAAACATGAGTCATAAATAAAAATCTATTTTTAAAACTGAATACTTCATAAATGACAGCTTAATATACATCAAAGAAAGTTCATCATATTGTTATACTTGAACATGTGACCAAAAAGCAGGATTTATATCCACCCTTCAAATTTCCCACCTGAAAAATGAGGAATTTGAAACAAGAAGATGTATAATGTTCTTTTCCAATGAGAACATTCTGAATACAAAGCTATAACTAGAAAAATAATCTCTGTGAATGTTTGCTCTCTGTATCTCATTCAAAATTATAGACTAAATATAGGTACTAAGTCAGGATAATTAGGCAAACACAAGGAGGCTCAGTTCAAAGTGGTCTAGAAATACTGAGCCCATGGAGAGCTTTGCTTTCCCTGGGCGACAAGTGGAGTCATATATAAATTCAAAAGTAGCTTTATTTTCCCTTTTAATTTTTATTCTTTTTTAGAGTAGTAACTAAGTTATTTTTAAGTATCATTATTTCCCTATAAAATAAAAAACTATCACTTACATAGTAAAATAAATTGATTAGGTGGCTTCAGATGTTTACTATGAAGAGGTAAGCTAAGACATTTGCTTAGAAATTGTGTATAAATTTTTTCCCACTGGTGTGCAAGAAGTGCCATTAAGTACATTATATTTAATTATAAAACATAATAAGGATTTGTAAAACAACTGGAAGATGATACAGTTGATTAGAACTTTAAATAAAAATTGATCTCCATACATATTCAAGATCTGAAAGAAAGGTCTCAGTTTGGGGCACTCCAGAGTGTCTACCATTGACTTAACAATAATTTTATTTAATCTTTTTGCCAAATAAAAGCCACTGTTCAAAGATATAGAAAAGTAAAAAATGTTATAGAAAAGTAAAAAATGTTTTAAAATACAGTAGGAATACAATATTGAATTATCCATAAATTTCCTGATTAACTTTATTAACAACAATGTGAATTCAGTTATAATCAGCAGGGACAGGATAAAATAGCCATATGTCTGAAGAATGGTTCTTTTTAAAGTCTTTTCATGTATATTACCTCTTTTAATTCTCATAAAACTAATAAGATAAGCAACCACAACAACCATGGACATATAACTCAAAGCAAAGTCAACAAGCATACTTAATACACAAAACATGTTGATGGTCTGTGAATAGGTAATATCTGTACCTGCCACCTCCCATTCCTGCCTGCTACTGTGCTTGTCACAAAGCTAGAGAAGAAGGCAGGCCCACTCTATTACCATTAAAATACATCAATAATCATTGATTTAAAAAAGTGTAATGACACAGTGTATCATTTATACAATAAATTACAAATATATTACATGGCTTTAATCTAACTTGAGCCTGTTCTACCAGCAGGAATATCTATCAAACTGATCTTCTAAAATCAGCAATTATGTTGAAATTAGCAAAAATGTTGAACAGAGTGTAAAAATGCCAACTAACCTCACTTTCTAAAAAGAAAAATACCAATGTCTTGACCAGGTTGGCGTTTGGGCTTTGTCTTCCCCTTCTTTTGAGGATTCCATCTTCTTCAGGATCTCTGCGACTAAAAAGCCTACAACCAAGCAAACTATTTACTATTTGAAAAACCAAAGAATTTTCCCAATTTAAAAAAGATGTTTTCCAAATTAATTATGACTGACAATTTAAGAAAAGACAAATATATTCTCTTGGTCCAGTCTGCATTATTCTCTCCATGTTTAGAAAGTGAACTATTTTTATTTCATTCTCCACCAAAATCCTTTAAAACTTTTCAACTTCATAAAATGAACCATGTTTTTGGTAAGGGACATTTCATGTCTTTTAATTCATCAAATAAAGGCTTTTATTCTAAAGGTACTGCACTAATCTTTTTCAATCTCACTTATTAAGTCACATCCCCTAACAAAAAAGGAAAAAAAAATGAATTCAGTTTGGAGAAAGAAAAACTACAAACTTAGACTTAGTAGTACATTTCTATGGATAATACAGAGCTTTGTTTCAAAAAAACAAAAATTAAATTAAAATAGGGTAATGAGATAAAGATATGGTACTAGAACCTAATATATTAAAAATTAAAATTTTCTCTATGTAATTCAAGTGATATAACCTCATGAGGATAACATCAAAGCTCATAACAATGTCTCACTCCATGTAGTTTTAAGTTCTTTCTGAAAACAACCATACTATTTCCCACAAAATTTGCTCAGTGATCACTGAGTTCCATTATATATTCACTCTCTCTTCTGAGGTATCATACACTTCCAGGCCCTGCCCCCTCAAGTAAAAACAAGTTAAAAATCACACAAAGTAAAGGAAGGAGCATTTAATAAGTGCCTACTATGGGAGAGGTGCTGTGCTAAGTGCTTTACAAATACTTTATTTGATCCTTCAAACAACGCTAGAAGGTTGGTTAACCCCATTTTACAGCTGAGGAAAGTGAGGTAGACAAAGGATAAGTGATTTGCCCACAGTCAAAAAACTACTAAGTGTCTGGGGCCAGAACTGAACTCAAGTCTTCCTGACTAAAGCTTTAACTGCTGCCTACCAATTCTGAAACTTGTTCTGATAGACCCCTAAAAGAAAATGCATGGCTCAAACGTTTCTGGTTCTAAAACCTTATCAGGGAAATTTAGTAAAACTTCTATTAAGTCAGTGATAAAGAAAAGAAATAACTAGACAGAAGTAAATCAAGTTCAGTATCCTTATAAGCTTTATTCTAAAGATCAGTCTACTGAAATATATTTTGAGACAAATAAAATTAATACATTCCTGGTTCAGAGGTAGAAAGCACAATGAACTGGGAATCAAGAGGCTCCAGGCACTTAACTACCTTTGTGACCGGGAGAAATTACTTCATTCCTTGGGCTCCAGTTTCTTCACATTTAAATGAAGCCAGACAACTAGATGGTTTGCAATTTTTGTTCCAGCACCAAATCAATTGAGTTTATCATTTCGTAAAAAATAGCACTGAAAATGATACAACCTGGGTTTTTTTAAATAATATTAAATATGGAGAAAAGCAACTTGACTTAAACTAATATTTCCTTAAATGGAACACTGTTTTGGTTCTGACTCTTAAGGTAAGACATAGAAAAATATAAATGTTATCAAACTTATACAGAGAAACCTAAACTTGACTTACTTTTTATAAAGAAATTCTCCTGCTGCTACTGCAACTGGCCGGTGGGCTGAATAAACCAAATGGTACACATTTTCACAGTCTTCCGCAGTAAGAACTTCTTCACTACTCCTACAGAAAAAAGTATCAGGATTCACTCATTTTTCAGTTTTGTAATTTCAAACCATAGTTCAAAGTCAAAAACTCCACAATTGGGGCTTTCTCCCAAAACTGACAATTCAAAAATAAATGAAATTAGCCTTATTCTATGTTAGCGGGCACAAATACCTACTTGCCCTGATCAAGTAGGCAAACAGCCACCAATTACCACCTGAGAATTCATCATTAATCAAGGAAAATGGCAGTAATATTGGAAGAATTATAATCAACCTAACTAAATAACATGAAAGATAAAGAAAAAAAAACAGAAAAGGAAGCAAAGAGAAGTGGATGACAGTCACTTGTGAACTCATCTGCAGCTCCACAACACTGTCTTCAAGTTTGAACCCTTTCTTGCACAAATCCTTCGCCACTAGTTGCTTTCATGTGTTCTGAATCATAAAAAAGCCTTGAGGATAAAATGAAGAACACTGACCAAGAAGGAAATACAGTACTAACAAAGAGCTAAAGAATGTGAGAGTTGGAATTTATTTTAGAGGTCATCTTACAATCAGCTAGCAATACAGAAGAGATAATACGGCAAGCGAAAATTTTTATATCTCATAACTTTATTACAACTTAAGTAACAGAAAGAAACTCAAACTACAATATTTTGAAAAAAAACATGCCTGGTAGTATAAATGCAAACCATAAATCTCCAGAAAAAAAAATGAGGGGCACATTTCTGTTACTGTACCACATATTACCAAAGACAAATGACAGAAATCATACATGAGCAGACATATACTAAGAACAGTAAATGGCTAATGCTCCACTGGTACCCATGTAACATCAAGAAATCTAAAGATGGTCCCTAACATATTGGGCATACCGCACTGTGGAGATATTATAGAGAGAAGAATAGAATGAGAAGACACATGGGCTATGCTCTATAATGCTGAAGAGAGTAACCACGCCGACAGGATCAAAGGCCAAAATAAATGCACAGTACTATCATCTTCACCTCACTTTGACGGCAGAAACAGGCCTCAGACAAGTGATTTTGCAGGCATTTCTAACGGAAACATTTCTAAAAAGTTTCACACTTTTTCTGTCTTCCTTCTCAGCTGTCTTTCCCTTCTTTACTAGTTGCCTACAGTCTAAAAAACTGGATAAGCAAGTTTGTTGGAACCTGACATAAGTCAAGAATCAACAAGCTGTGGTGCATGTGATCAATGGAATATAATTGTGCTTTTAAGAAATTATGAATGTGGAAATATGGCAAGAACCACTATTGAAGTCACAGAAACCAGAACCAGGAATATACACACAAAGACTACAACTTAAATAAAACAACAAAACAAAGTGAACTGAATGCTGAGCAGACATGGCCCAAAAGAAAAGATGAGAAAGCACCTCACTCCCGTTTTTTTCAGGAATGGGAGCCTATGGGATGTGCAACACTGCTTATTCTTTGTCACAAGGGATGGCTCTCTGGAAGTGGAAGGAGGAAGCCACTACTGAGAAAATACATAGTGTTAAAAAAAATGTTACCACTATTACATCTTAGTATTTTATGTTTTATGTTAATCATTTATGTTAATTATGTTAATCATTATGTTAATCAGCTTTATGTTAATCATTTCCCAATATTCCCAACCCCCTAGTGAACCCTCTCCTAAAGGAAAGAAAAAGCAGCTAAGTAAGCCACTGGTCAAAATGACGGCCCCTAACACTTCTCAGAGTTTTCTCATCTATTATACCAATTAAACCGAGGTCAGCTGCCTTTCTGATCAGTTTCCTTTCACATTACTATAATCATTATGTAACTTGTTTTCCTAGCTGTTGCTTTATTTGAGTTATCAGTTCATTCAAGTTTACATACATTTCTCAGAATTTCACATTTTACAACGTATTCATATTTCAATTACTCCTCAAATAACGGTCACTATTTCCAATTTACTACCACTACGATTTAACATATGATCTCATAAAGTTTCTCTTCAATCTTAGTCTACTCAATCGTTTTTAACTATCCGAGGCCTTAATTGCATAGAGCAGTAAAGATAATGCTCAGTCTATGAAGTTTCATTAAGTTGCTTTTCAAATATGATAGTTTCTCGAATTTGTAAGGAACCTCAGAAGTCAACTAGTCTAACCATGTCATTTCTCTCCACACTGTCAATAACAAGTCATCTAACATCATATTACAGGGAAGAGAAAGTTCATTCAAATTCAAAATAGCTACTGTTTTTCTCAGCTTAACTTCCTTTCCCGTTTCCATCCAATGTTCCTAAAAACTGCCCTGAGGCCACAGAACAGATCCTGAGAGAAACATGCTATAAAAGTTCCTCAGGAATTCACATTTTCCAAAAATCTGAAAAAATAGTTCTTAAATGTACTTAAGTGACTAATTTTATTCAAAGAGCTCCAGACTAGGATTCAGAAGCCCTGGGTGCTAATGGTTGGTTCAGGAAGTAACTGGTACTATGAACCAGAGCAAAACATGATCTCTGTAAAAATCAATGCCTCACCTTCCCCTCAAATGAGGGAGTTAGGCTCAGTGAGGGGCAGCTAGGTGGTGCAATGGATAGAGTGCCTGGCCTAAAGTCAGGAAGATGGATCTTCCTTAGTTCAAAATCCGGCCTCAGACACACACTTAGCTGTGTGACTCTGAGCAAATCATTTAACTCTGTTTGCCTCAGTTTCCTCATCTGTAAAATGAGCTGAAGAAGGAAATGGCAAACCACTCCATTATCTTTGCCAAGAAAACCCCAAATGGGGTCACAAAGAGTCAGACACTGAAACAAATGAATAGGAAGAAAAAGAGGCTCAATGAATCTAATTTAAAAAAAAAAACCCTTTCCCCACCCATGCTGCCTTCATCATCCATTCCCCTAATCAACTGAGAAAACTTGAAGGTTGCAAAGCACCAAAATCTCCTCTCTCATACATCTTTCTCAGTCACTCCACTAGTCTGTTTTTTCTCCTTACTAACTCTTTAACGTATACCTTCTAGGAGATGGTCTGTCAGCTCACTCTCTGCACCCACACCCTGAATCTCTCCCTTTCTTCTGCCTCAATCCCTGCTGCACAAAAACATATGCAAATCCCTCCCAGGATCCTGCCTGCCACTCTCCAAAAACTACGATCTTACCCCTACCTTTCTTCATCGTTGATGACAAACTACTAGAAAAGGTCACCTTCATCTGCTACCTCTACTTTATCACTACATATTCCTTTCTCTCTCCTCTCCAATCTGGGTTCTGATTATACCCCTTTACTGAAATTGCTCTCTCAAAGGTTAGCAATTGGTTTTTTCCCCTTTCTTAGTATTCATTCTTCTTCACTTCCAGGAAGCTTTTGACACTCCTAACCACTTCCCTGATTCCCTAGTTGAATTCTCTTTTCCCAATTAGATACTTCTTGGTCAGTCTTCTTTGCAGAATCTTCATGCATAAACTACTCCCTAAGCATAGGTGACAGCTCTAAACTAAAGCCCTTTAATAAGCTGGACAGTTAGTCAATAAACATTTATTAAGCACCTAGTATGGTGCCAGGCTACCTTTGAGGGTGGAGCAACCTTCAAAAAGAAACATAGCAAAAGAATCCATGTAATTGTATTCCTTAATTTTTGAGTTGTATTTTATAAACCCTTTCAGACTAAATGCAAGAAGGAGGGCGAGGAGGGTAATTTATACATTATGAATATTTTTAGTCCAAAAAAGACCATTACTGTTTAATTTTCTCCAAACGGTAAATCATCCTATCCTGGCTGGGTCTATAGAGCCAAGGGAGTACACAGTTCTTGCTCTGCTGCAGAGTACTACAGTAGCCACGTGCTTCCAGATATTTTCTATACCTGATTAGAACTCCCTGTAGACAGCAACTTTTTTAATGAAAGGATAAATCTAACGAATATAAACTGTGAAAAAAAGAAAGCTCAAATACAAAGAAAGGCAATATGACAGCCCCTACTCTCAAGAAGCTCAGTCTAATGGGAGAAGACAACATGCAAACGACTATACATAAACAGTGGGTGTGTGTCTATGGGTGTGTGTACAAGATAAAATAAATATAATCAATAGAGGGAAGGAACTAAAATTAAGAGGGACTGGGAAAGGTTTCGTAGAAAAGATGGAATTTTGTCTCGGACTTGATAGAAGCCAGGGAGACTAGAGGACAGAGTTGGGGGGGGGGGGCAGAGAAAGACAAAAAATAGACCCTGTTCTCAAGGAGCTCAGTCTAATTACAGAGACAACATGCAAACAAGTTACATACAAGACAAACTGGAGGTGATCTTAGAGTGAAGACCCTACCATTAAGGGGGAATGAGAAAGGCTTCTTGAAGAAAGCAAGACTTTAGCTAAGACTTGCAGGAAGCCAGGAGTTAGAGATGAGGAGGGAGAGCATTCCTGGCATGGGAGACAGCCAGTAAAAATGTTGGGAGATGGAATGTCTAATGCACTGAAGAGCAAGAAGGCATGGGATAAAGAAGAATCCGGGTGATGGCAGTGTCAGCAGAGAACAGGAGGACTATCAAGAGACGTTAAGAAGGCAAAAATAAAAGAGGCCTTAGAAACAGATTAGATACGAGGGGTGAGAGAGCTAGGAGTCTAGCATAACACCTAGGTTGTATGACTGGGAAGATAGTGGTGCCCTTTACAGGAAGAGGCGAAGGTTTGGTGGGAAAGATAATTAGCTCAATTTTGGACATGCTGTGTTCAAGATGTCCACCAGATATCCAGTTTGATATGTCCAATAGGACAAGTTTGGCCACATTCTATTCTCTTTCCATACTCTATTCCTTAATGATCTCATCTACTCACAAATCATTCTCTATACAGATGAATCCCTAATTTTTCAAAACAATTTTAGTCATATAGCACTAAACTACATAGAGGAGATCTCCACCAAGATGTCTTCTCAACATTTCAAATCCAAAATATGGAAAAACTATACTCACCATCTACTCTCATAATTAGTATATACTGAAAACTTCCCTATTTCTGTTGTAGACACCAAAATTCTCTCATAGCCTTAGTCATCATAGAATCCTCTCTCTTTTCCTTTCCACCCTACATATCTTGGGGTCAAATCTTATTGATTCTGTCTTAAAAAGATCTCACATTCCCTTCCTCTCTCCATAAACAATCATTACCATAATTAAACCTATTTCCTAGACTAATAAAAGTCTCTTATTTAGTCTCCCCCCAACCATATCACTTGAGTTTCAAAATTCATGGATTTCCACATAGCAGCCAAAATAATTCTCCTAAAGCAAAGACCTGAACATATCATTCCCATACTCAAATCTTAAGTGGCTCCAGACAGAATCGAGGATAAATACGAACTCCTCAGCCTGTCACTATAGACCCTTTACACTCTGGCTTGAAGGATCCTACCTTTGCAGACTTATACTCCCTCCACATATTCCCTAAAGCCTCAAATTCCCCATAAGTGGAATATAACCCCTACAGAAGTACTCAGCTTAGGTACCAGTCTCCACCATCAAGTCTTTCCTGAAATTCTTTTACAAACTCAAAATACCTTTCATTTAATGATCCAGGTACAGGCAATATGCACCCATCACCAACTTGACCCCACCTCCAGCTCCCTAAAAGAATGGTTTTGTTTTTTCTCTTAAGTATCCAGAATGCCTAAGGTGATACCACATACACAGTAGGCATTAAATAATGTCAGCAGATTTTCAATTTTTTTTCATCAAGTTTGAGAGTAATAGTTAATAAACTTAAGCAAGCTAATTGTAAGTGACTCATCTCTTTGAATATGTCTGCACATACACGTTTATGTAATAAATGTAGTTACTTACTGTAAAACAAGAGTGAGTAATTTTATTGCTTGCACTGCAACATCATATTCTTTATCAAGGGTCATGGAAACGATTCTATCCTAAGAACAGAAAATAAAGTATATTTGAAGGGGAAAGGGATATAAGTAAATAAAATTCAGTTTAAAATGCAGGTAATTTGCTTGACAATATTCAACACTACGAACCTTGAATCGACTGGTGAAGAGCTCCAGTTTGGAATTAAGCTCCTTATTATAATAAAGCCCTTGCAGTGCAGTAAGACACTTTAGTCTTACTTCCCCTTGCTAAATAAAATTGAAAGACAGATTAAAAGTATACTTAATTTTACATTTTAATCTTCAAGGTACATAATATTGTCAACTAAAATGGAAACTACCCTACAGAAAAAATTCAGAAACTTACATCTTCTATAAAACCTATTTTTTTTCCACTGAATTATTTTGTGATACTTGGCAATGGAGAAATGAAAAATTAACACAATCCTAAGGTTACATGAATGCCTTTGTATTATTATTATATCTATGCATAAATGATGTTGTACATAGTGTCAAGAATAACTTCCTACCCTAAAAAAAAATACCATTCATGTCTCTAATAGCATGAAAGGTGCTATATGCCTAGTTACCCTTAGATGTCAGTGAAATCTTAATCCATTTAAAACAATTATTAACAATTTAAAAAATTATTTAAAACAATATCTGAGATAAGCCATATAAAAGTACTTTTGCCCTTTGCACTGCTTATTATACTTAAATGTAGTTGGCACACATGATTGTATATATACATAACTAGGTCCATGTCTATACACCAATGTATAATAACCATCTACATCATTCAGGAAATTCATCTCTAAAGTTATATATATTCTTTCCATACTTCTTGGTCTAAGTACTTATAAAAAAATGTCTAAAATATTTAAAGATATCAGAGGAGTAATCAGTTCTCCCCAAATTCAAAGGATTCCATGAAATACAATTTGAAAAGTTAAAGAGGCAGAAATATATTTTCCAAAAATATAAGGGATAGTAACTAAGATATCTGATGCATCTGCATGTTGTATACAAAGAATATATTATGTACAACTTACCTTATCATGCATAGTCCATCCAACATACTTTAAATAGCTGTCATTAAGAAAGGCATCACTGTACATTTTCATCCATATCCCAATCTCTTCGATACAAATAGCACGGATTTCTGCTATAGCATCACTGAATGAAAAATAAGAGTTATATCTACTAATAATACAGTAACACAGTTCATGTTCATTCGACAAGTAGTATTTGGTGTCCTCTACATATATACCACAGTAATAAATACAATGCCAATTACAAATAGTATAAAAATAAATAGTGTCCAACAAAACATGACCTGGTTTCAGCTCCAACCACCCTCCCTGATGGGCTTCCCCTGCCTACAGAAGAAATTATTTGACTTACCGGTATCTATGTACAAAGACTCCTTTAAATATGGCATTCATCATATTTTCTATTTCATCTTGATTTTCTTGAAGCTAAAAGTACAAACACAACACTTAATAAAAAGATTTTGTTGGTGGACACATGTTCCAAAAGTACAAAAAATGTTTTGGTTTTTTTTTTGGGGGGGGGGGGGGGTGCACCTATAACATTGCTTCTCACTCAGACAAAGTTTACTGTCATACAAATATGTCCTGGCAGTTCCATTCAATTTTGCTTTTCAAATGTAGCCACTGAAAAAATGTATCTTGTATACTGAAAATGCTTGACTGAAAAACTTCACACTTTGGGTGTAGCCTTTCAACCAGACCAAACTGATGGGAAAAAAACATACCTCTCTTTACTTTCTAAGAAATTTTGAAAGCATCATTTTAATTTTTAAACTAAATCCTTAATTACATAAAATTTGAAGTAATTCATTTTGTGTCTGCGAAAAGGGAGTTAGCAAAGTTAGATGAATAATTCAGTGCCAGTGTGTTAGTTAAATATTACCCATGCCCGGAAATGCACTGACAGCTAACCATACTGTTACCCATTTACCTCTTTCCTCTTCTGCAGCAAAAGTTCCAGCCTATCATTTGCTCGCTTTCCAATCATTTTATTTCGCTCCGCTTCATACTGCCTCTGTGTATTGTCCATGTTAATGCTAAGGTTTAACGCCACATTCACCAATGCTGTCATCAACTTCATAGCTATTTTTTAAGAAAGAAGAATCAGAAGCAAAGAACAACAATTTTAGGTCATTTTAAGCTAAGTTCAAACCTACTATTCACATGAAAAAAAAAAAAGACAAAGGTCAGGCAGCTGCCACAACTATACTCAGAATTCTCTATTCTGCCATACAACTAATAACACATCCTTTGACAGATGTGGCCTTTAAAAACTGACCTTCTTTACAATGAAGTCTACTCTGTAAGAAAAACTGAAAGTCTAGGTTCCAGGTTTTGCCCTTCTTTTAAAAAAAATTCATTTAACACATACTATGAGAAAAAGCATTACAGTGGATAGAGAGCCAACCCCAAAACGAGTTGGAGGGCTTAACTCTATACTCTGACCCATAATGGCTGAGTGACCCTGGGCAAGTCACATTTACAGAATCCTATAGTAAGGTTCTAAAGTTGCAGATCTGCATTGGCAGAGCATCTTACTAGGTGCTCTCTATACTAAGGAAATCACAGGTCAGTCATTACACTGCTTACTCCAACCACACTAACAAAAAAAGTGCGTGAGTGTACAGTGTGTATCTGTATTTTCAAAAAAAATCTCAGCAGGTACTATGCTCCATTAAATAATCAAATAAAAGCTGAAGCTGAGGGGTGAGAAAAAAAAGTTTCCAGATCAACAGGTCCAAATGAAATAATGAAATTTATACAAATCACCAAAAAAAGTGATTTGACTAATACTCATGCAGCCTTTCTTTAACTGGAGTTTTAATGACAAGCTTTCACCCTATTCTTCTCAGGAAGATTTGTTTTTTCTTTTAAACAGAACTTTATTCTCAGAAACATTTTAAAGAATATCACTTGAAGAGCAAAGTAATATGTAATAAAGGAGATCAAATCATCTGGTGCCATATTTGGTGAACTCTAGTCTCTTGTAAGATCTGACCCATGTGCAAACACAACAAAATGCCTACTTTTATGATGAAGAAAGGAGGTTCATTATCAAAGACACATAAAGGCTAGATTTCCTCATCAAAGTAGCTTAAAATAAAAGATACTTCATAAGACAGCAAAAGAAATGTGCTTAAACTTGAGTATCAAAAAATTATGACATTAAACTGATTAATTTATTTAAAGTTGTTGATATTAAAAAGCTGTAAGAACTTTAGACTATATATAGCTTTAGAATGGAATTAATGACTTGTGGCCTACAAAAATCTATTAGATAAGAGCACAATATTTTCTTTACAATTTATACATTTTATTTGTTCAAATAAAGGGCACTATAAATAAAACTTTAAGGAAAAAGAATAGATTAAGAGAACTTTAAATTTCTGAACAAAAAAAGTGTGCAATAGCCAAAGTTAAGGGATTTAATTCTTAAACAAATTAGAATATGAATAATCAACTGTGGAACATTGAGCATTTTCTACTTCACCAAACATAATTATGGGAGTCAAAAGATATTTACTAAAACATCACTGAACTAGAATCGAGATAAATGAGTTGAAATAAACTTAACTAAAAAAAATCAGATAATTCAAGTTATATAGTATTTTGGATAAGGTTATATAATCTATCACCCTTCTATATTTAATAAAAAACAAATGTGTTCACATGGCAGTAGAAAATTATTCTATGATGTTTTTAAAAGAGGGAGGGGAATCTACATCCCTCCCAAAAATAGTTCTAGGACTAAACTTTAGAAGGTATTAAGACTCGTGTATTAATCTTACTTGACATGTTCATTTTAGTCAAAGTTGATACACACAAGTTGTTAGAAATATGTGAAACAATGAGGCAGTAACTAGTACTATAAATCCCGCTAAGATCAAAGGGTACTATGTAAGGAGTTTTCCAATGCTGCAACAGATAAGGCTCTAAGGAGAGAATTAAGCTTTGTTCTCTCTACTTGGTTCCTTCTTCATATCACACTCTAGCCTGTGCTCTGGTCCCTGGCCATTTATATAAAAGCTAAGCTTAAAAAACAGTACCATCATTATAAATGGGTACCCAATAAGGAAATCAAGGGTTCTCACAAACTATAACCTGCCATCCCACTCAGCCATTTAGTATATGTCAGCCCAAGGGCCAGTAACCTGCATAGTAGAAGAGGCCTTCTAGTGATGACAAGATTCTAAACAAAATTAACCTGATTAACTAGCCAGTTTATGCATTGTTGAACCATTTATCTTACCTTCTGAAGCTGCACAAAGGAAAGAATTGGAAATGCTAACCTGCCAATGTGCTGGTATGTCGAAATGCCCTGACTTGAGAGTCAGACAATCCTGTAAGCAGTGAAATGACTGTATCCATCATGTACTCATCATATATGATACTATATTGACATTGCCTCACTAATACACCAATGAATTCACAAAAACTGGATTTGAATTTCTTCCACTGAGGACCAGCCATGGTGAGTGGATAATCTCCACTATCCTAAAATAAAATTTTAAAACATCAACTTCTTTGCAAATATTGACAGAGAAAAATGTTACATGTGCAATGAACACTAATAAAGATACACCTTACCTTCTTATTGCACTGAAACCAAAGCAAGGAATATTAGGGGAAGTAAAGGATTGTGAGAAGGAAGGTCTTTTTACCTTGGAAACAGTTCTAGCTTTCAAATACGAGTACTCAAAAGGAGAAGGTAAAAACTATCCAGCATTAATAAACCCAAGTGGCCATCATCTACTATTAACTCAAATACAGTACAGTAATTAAGCTTAAAATATCAGAATAAGCAAAAAAAAAAGTTAACTGTACAACTGACTAATATGACATACAATGGTAACATGAAATACAATTTTCTTCTCACATTACATTCACATAGTTCTCAGATTAAAATAAAAATAGTGTCTGTATCAACTGTCACCACCATGGAAGGAACTATAGAATTCTGTCCATATGGACTTTCACGATGTTCCTATCTAACCCACATCTGTGTGCCTGAAGAGTTTGTTTAACTGAAGAATAACACTTAGTAACTACACAACAGAAGTTCACAGTGTCATATACAATCCTCTTTTCTGTTCTTCTCTGAATAAAGAAATGATTGTCAAGTTCATAATAAAAAAAATGAAAAAAATTGACATTTCAGTCAAGGGAGTTTTGCTTTTTGCTATTCAATAGAATAGCATAACATTATAGCTTTCTCCAAAAGAATTTTGAGTTCAATCAAGCACTGCATTTTAAAAGCATAAAAAACAAAAACCACAACAGCAAAACTGACCACCACCAAATGCAAGAAAAGCACAATGGCTGCATATAATGGTAATAGCTAATTTAACAGTCAATTCCCTCTTTCCTCAGGATTTCATTACAAACAAAAGGAGTCTTCAATGATACATTAACATTAATTATTTGATTTTAGAACATGTACTGATATACATACTATGAAGAAAAACCTAAGGTGTGACCAACTCCATTTAAAATGTCAATAAGGAAAGATATTTTACACTAAGAAAAGGGCCAGTTGTGCATACAGTATTTTAAATGGAAAAAACTAGGAATGTGGCTCAGTAACTTCTACCTATAAAGTGGTATCCTCATCAGAATTGTTTTAAGGTATTTTAGAAAAAATTCTTAATCTTTGGTAACTGAATGTCCTAATGTTTCCCTTTTTTCAGAGTAACTATTATTTACATACTTTAATTCATCTATAATTTCATCAACTCATTATAAACAGTAGTTGATCTAATTTTTATTCAAGTTCAACTCTGATGTCCCTTCATGACACAGCATAACTATGAGGTTCTGCTGGCAATGCCAGCACAGTACAAGCTCTGCCAGGCTGACTAGAAGCACAGGGGTCAGCATTGCACTGAATGACCATTTACCAAGGACCAATCTTACCTAAGTTCAGAAAAGAATATCACTAGACTTATTATAAAGTAAACTATTTGATCACAGTGACTATTAAAGACATAATAAATGATTTCCAAGAGTAAATGGCATACACATAACAATGGAATCACAGGTCAAAGAAAAAATTAAAGTATTTAAACTTATATCAGGATTTCTCTTTTTAATTAACACATATAAAATCTAATATTAAAGATGAAATTAAAGTAAAAAACATTAGCTTTGATTATTTGTCAACTACTAGGTAACTGATTTGGAAATATTGACTTGCTCAGGTATTTCAAACTTTTTGCCTGACTAGCTTTTAGATGTTTTTATTAGATCCATCTCCAGAAACTAGGCAAACGAATCTCAAAATCAGTTGTATCCTCTCCTTAGAAAGCAAAGCCAATGTCTCTGGAGAAGATAAAACGAAGAACTACCTAAGGTGGTTTTACAGCTATTTGTGAGTTTCTTTTTTGATCTAATAATACCAAATGAGGGAATTGTTGAAGGTTGCCGGCCAGTTCTCAAATTCTACTTAGCTGTTTGTATCCCTGAATATATCTAAATGGAAATTTCACAGAAGAATACCATGACAAAAGTGTTGAACCATAAAGATCAAATTCTTACTACTTTAATAACAAGTATGTCTTCACAATTAAGCTAAAATAACCATTTTAAAACTGAATTATAAAATTAATTTACTGAACAAAAATGTTAGCTTTTATTCTTCCTTCTGACGAACAAAGCCCAAATTTTGACCATAAAAAGGTACTATAATTTAATATTTTTTCCAAAGAGACTGATGTTGGCAAAAAGCATGTATTTAATGGGCAAATTTAATGGTTATTAGTGGTTCAATTTATGCATTTAATTTAAAGGTCAGCTTTCCTCAAATAATTAGAAAATTGGAATATTTGAATAAACTATTAGACTAAATATAGGCCATACCTGAAAACTAAATGTCTTTAAAAGTAAAAACAAAACCAACAACAAAACTATGGTTTTTCAAAGGAGAGATACTTCAATTTATATAGGATTCTTTTGCACTTAAATTTTTCGGTACTTTGTTCTCTTCATTTTAACAATAAAACCTAAGAAGAAACAGGTACCCCAGCGTGTAACATACAATCCTACAAAACCATAAACTTATCTTGCATTGGGAATTTGATTTAACAATGATTAAACCAAGAACATCTGACCATTCAATTCAGAAACAAAACAATTAATAGTTACAAATGACATTCTCAAAACATTTAAGTTACCTCATCGAATTCCTCTGTCATCTTTCGAATTATTTCAGAGTTCTGCATGTGCCTAAACATTTCAGCTGTGACAACTCCTACAATTTGATTTGTAAAAAATGAGAGTTTAGCAGGGGATATACTAAAATAGAACACTTACGAATCTGGAACTATCAACAGGCATATAACCAATAGATAATTCTATATCAATCACAACACGCAAGCCTAGAATTAGAGCAAAGACCAAAGTTCTGAATAAAAAGTAAGCCAGGTATAGAGGAATACTTCTGGCAACCTCAACAATCTGGACCATAGTCTGAATACAAGAAAAAAATGTTAAAAGGCCTCTTTAAAATAAATAACTTTTAGAAGTCTCTAATCACTAGACAAGCAGTCAAAGCATGTAAACAAACAGTATTCAAAAGAACTGTAACTGATTAACAATATGAAAGAAATGTTCCAAATCCATAATGATAAAAGAAATATAATGACAAAAAGGTTCCATATACACCAACATATTTATAGCAGTAGTTTTTGTGGTAGCAAAGGATTGAAAACAAAGAAGATGCCAAAAGACTTAGAAGAGATTAATAAACTATGGTGCATGAATGGATTATTACTATGATTTAAGAAATGACAAAAACATTGACTACAGAGAAGTAAAGTCAAGACTTACATGAATTGATACAAAGTGGAGTAACTGGAACCAGAAAAACACCAGAAACACAGAATACAACAAAGTAAAATGGAAAGGACAACATCAACGAAATAATTGAAACTGAGGAAGATGTCAGGTCCAAAGCTTGGCCTGAAACAAGAGCTATCAGAAGTGGTACCTTCCCTTATTTCTTTGCATTTCTTCCCTTTTTTATCTTTTATTATAAGAAAAGGCATCTACAGAAAGGTTAGGGGAAGTAAGTAGTGGGAAATGTAGATGAAGCAATATTTAAAAATTATTTTAAAATAAAAGGCCTCAGAGGTGAAAAAAGGACCCATCATAAACAGCCTACTGTCTTTGTTCCTCAGGAAAAATTTTTTAAGGCACAAGGACAAAGGCACAGACTTAGAAGTATGAGGAAAACTAGCAATGTGTTATCTAACTTTCCTGGTACAAAGTTAAATTCTGAAGACAGTAAAGGGATTAGGTGGCTGCAAGAAACTGGAACACAGAAAAAGAGGAAAATTACAGCAAGGGCATAGATAAAAGTAGTAGAAGAGACACCAACCAAAAAACATCCTGGGGCAGTCAGCGCAGGGGCAAAATTCACCAAAACATCTCAATGGCCCCAGGTTACATCACTGTAACCAAAATATGCAAGAATTTAACAAGATGCTAGTTTAACAATTCAAAGGAAGCTTCATTAAGCACCTTAAGTAGTTACTCAGTGTAAGAAGTTGCTGGAACTGGGAAACAAAGAGAGATTAAAAGAGAAACTAGTTCTCAAGGAGCTTAAAATACAAGAGCAGAGCTGGAGACAACCCCAACACAAATAACTAAAATACAAGAGTGTGATAACTGCTAAAGGATTGACCTAGAAAAATCCGAGGATCACTTTCAGCTCCTCTCTTTTCTTGTGGGGGATGGGGGGGGTGAAGAGAATAAAGTAAAGGAGAGGTTAAGCAGATAAAGGATTTTTGTTCAGGGAAGACCTCCTTGAGGAGGTAGTACCTTCTAGAGTATACCTTCCTCCCTTTCTTCTACGCCCAACAAAAGGAGATTTTCTTTTTTGAGGCAGTGTAGATAAAATAAAGGCAGGAAAAGGTAGGTTGTAGCCAGATTGAATACAATAGTGTCTCACCTGATTTTCCCTCACAATAAATAGCCTCTCTAAAACTGTTAAATTTGCCCCTCCTCTCACTCCTTTTACAGGTATATCACCACTTTAGTTGTTCCACTTAATAGTGTGATGTGTGGAATAGAAAACATACATATTTGTCTTACCTTTACAGCCTGAACACTGAATAAAGAAGTTGATGAGATCAAGAAGCGAAATATCCCGGTCATGTTTATATGACTCTATCCAATCATCCACTACAGACTGGAGGAGAAAAAATAGAAAATAGAATTATCATTGACTTTCACATGTGCTAAAAAGGGGGATAATGTTACTATTCTGAAGATCTAGTTATATGACTATCCAATCAACCAATACAGACTGAAGGACAAAATGGGAAATAGAATTGTCACTGACTTTTCACATGTGATAAAAAGGGGGGGGAGGATACTATTACTCTAAAGCTAAGACACAGTATCCAACCTGAAAATATTTTCATATAACATTTTTAACAATAAAAGACAGAATCCAATTTGGTGGATGGGATACTCAAAAACACAAAATGAAAAGAACATTCCTATTTTCTCTGCAATAAAAGAAAGCCTAAAACAAAGTCAAATTCTAGGAGAGAAACCACATTCTTCCCTAAAATACTAAATTTTATTCATAATGTAAGAAAACATTAAAAGCTAACATTTTCATTTATGTTTTCTAAAGCACAGAAACAAACAGTATTTCAAGGCAATTTTGTTTGTATTTTAGATCTAAAGTTGTTTCTTGAAGACACGAGACAGTTTGATTGCCAATATGGTAATGGATTTAGGAGTTAGAAATTTAGTTACATGTATATAAATTGTATGAGTTTCATTTAGCTAATCACACTTTCAACTATTTATTAATGGAAATAAATTTCAACCTGGGCCCTTTGCCTGGAAACTCTTCCACAAAAATGACCCATTCTGTGACCATGGGGCAAGGAACTGCCATCATTTCCTATCTCTAAAACTAAAGGTTTGGAGGCTGGATCTCTAAGGGTTCACTTCTAACATTCTAAAATCACAATTTAATTTATTAAATAAGTTAGTAATTATTGCATTGGTCTTAGTATAAAGCACTGGTGAATATAGGTCATACAAAACCTCTAAAAGGAGATCATATGGAAGTGTCTGTCTGTCTCTCACACATACTCACACACACACACCAGCACAGTGCTTAGTTAACCAAAAAAAAAAAGCCCATCCATTATAAGTTCATATTTATACAAGCCTGATTTGGGAGGGGAATACATCCTATATTCAGATTAATATACATTATCTCACTTAGCCAAGAATTCTATACAAGTAAATTATTTCAAAATTATCTGTATAAAGAAATGTGAGTCTATTTTTTTGACAAAAATAAAAAGAAATCACTTTCTTATAAAAGAACCATATGACTGTATCTTGCTGTTTTCTAGAATAGTTTCTTGCCCATCCTATCAATTATTTTTAAAAATAGGACCAGAGGATTGTAGAGATCATCTAGTCCAGCCACCTCATTTTCACAAATAAGGAATTTGAGCCTTTGCAGAAATAACCCCAGAACACACAGCTAATAATCAGCAAAGTTAAGATTGAAGTACAGGTCTATTTCCTTTCCCTGGCCTCCTTCCCTTTAAATTCTGTTGCTTCAAAAAAGAGATGACTAAGACACACAATTGTAATAACCAGGAACTTCTTCCTGCAATGAACATAAAAGCTTAAAACTTATTTTTTAAAACTAGGGAAGAAATTTTAAATAGTACCTGCATAGCACTCTTGCCCATTTTGACAACTTCAAACAACATCATGTTTTCCACTCCATTCTGTTGATGATGCCCATTCATTCGATTTGGACCAGAAGGTTTTCCTCCTCCATTTCCACCCTTCCCCTTCTCTCCAGGACCTTTTTTGCCTTTTTTACAAGTCTGTTAAAATAAAAGATATTTTAAAAAGAATTTGTACAGTTCAAGTATGCTTAAATAAAATTTTTCATTAATACACTTATTTGGACTTAAAGAGAACCTCCCCCCAAAAAACAAATATTACAAGATTGTGTTACTGAGCCCAGTAATTTTATGATCTGAAGCCATTTTGTTATTTCTCCAGGAGGGAGAAGCTGGACTCCTGGTCATTCATAAAACAAAGTACACTAAGTCCTGTCAATTTTACCTTCTCAAGATCTCTCATACATGCCCTTTTTCCTCCTCTTATAATGCCACCACCCTAGATCAGGCCTGGATTATTGCAAGAGCCTCAGGCTGGCCTCCCTTCCTCAAACCTCTCCCCTTTCCAGTCCCATATTCCACTCAGCTATCAAAGTGATCTTCTAACCATGTTGCTCTCTTATTGAATACACTTCAATGGGAGACTCCCTATTACCTCCAGGATCAAATAGAGAATGCTGTCTGGCTTTTAAAGTATTTCATAACCTGGTTCCTTCCTACTTTTTCAGTCTTCTTACACCCCCTTCCTTCACCCCACTCAAGTAAACTGATCCAGTGCACTTAACACTCCATTTTCACTGGCTTTTACCCATACCTTAAATTCTTATTCCTTCTTTATCTCTGCCTTCTAGCTTCAATTTATCCCGTATATATTTTCTCTGTACATAGTAGTTTGCATGTTATCTCCACCATTAGACAAGTGAGGCCCTTGAGAATAGGGACTGTCTTTTGCCTTTCTTTGTATCCCAACCCTTTGGCACAAAGCCTGGTGAATAAGAAGCACGGGAGAAATTCTATTGTTGCTACAGGTCGTATGTCTTATGACCTGTAAGTAGGTAGAGGACCATACTAGTCCTCTACTTACTGTTCCATATGTCTGAGTAAAAATGAAACCAATCTCTTCAGCACTGCTCTCACAGATACATAATCCCATATAAACCGAACAAAAATTTTTAAAGATATCAAAATTAGGATCAATGATCACTTCTCTTGGTTCTATCCCTGTTTCATTAAAAGCCCAGCAGAAAAGACCACTAATTTGTCTTAATGACCATAAATCTACTTTCTACTCACATTTATGTTAATTTAAATAATATACATTTAGCTAAGTTTTTTGTTGTTGTTTCAGGGGATTTCAGGACCTGTGATTTTAATGAGTATAATAAGGTAATTAATTCCCTCTACCAAAGCAACTTCTTAGAGAGTTGCCTGGGGCACTGAGACATTAAGTGACTTGCCCAGGGTCACAGAGCCAGCATACATTCCAGACTGAGGCCAGGTCTTCCAAACACTAACACTTCCTAACACTTCCTTCATCCACTATGTCATGTTATGTAAGATTGTTTCCAGGTATTTCTATCAAAAACACAATAAAGTCTTAAAATACTGAACCTCTTGGATACTTAACTTCTTGCTTCCTAAAAAAGTTATCTTGTTATTTAGTTCCATAAATTATTTTACAAAATTGAGGGGGCAGCTAGGTGGCACAGTGGATAGAGCTCTGGCCTTGGAGTCAGGAGGACCTGAGTTCAAATTCGGCCTCAGACACTAGACACTTACTAGCTGTGTGACCCTGGGCAAGTAACTTAACCCCGACTGCCTCACTAAAAAGCAAATTAAATAAATAAAGCTATCTTCAATAAACTATGCTCAAAAAAGGTTTTCATCTTCATTAATCTGACTCTGATATGTCTTCATGATATTAGGTCACCAATCTATTTTGCCTTTTATAATTAAGGTCAGAAAGGGACAATATTCAAAAATATTAAATTTGGAATACACACACACAAAATCAATCTATACATAGTCGAGATTCATGGTTTCATTTTCTGTTCTTTTTATAAGGAAGTGTTCATGTTTACGGATATTTATCAAGTCTACAAAAAGAAAAAATTAAGATTACTGCAATAGTCTAGTTATGTAGGTTGATATACAACTCCATCTTAAAATTATCAGTTAATACAAACCCACTGTTTCAGATCTCTTATATATCAAAAGTTTTAATGTAGATTTTTAAATTTAAAGTTTGAAAAGTGTTAACATCCATTTAAGCCAATAGTTGAGGAAAACCTTCAATTCTAAGCCTCCTCTTACAAATCTTTGGCAGCCATATCCTAAAAGGCCACAAGGGGAGGCTCTTATATCCCTTTTTTCTTTTGAGTGAGATCACAAAGGATGATCAAAACAAAATAAAATTCAAGATCATGGCAAGGAAAGAAAAAACCAAGAAAATTTATCACAGAAAAATTTAAAGTTATATAGCCAATAATCCACAGAAAATCTAGAGGCTATTTAGAAATCTGACAGTGAAGCCCAGCATTAGCTATAGAAAATCATATAACAAACCTCTCCTCCCAAAAGACTGCTAACAAAGTTAATATAAATAAGGGCCTTTGAGTAAAAGGTAGATCACAGCCAACATCCACTAGGACCTGCATCTCCTATTAATGTAGAGGAGGAAAAAGGTCAAATTGATCACCATCATAGCAGATCTTTTAGATCTGAGGTGGGGTTTGAAGAATTATGCTGATTTTTTCTTGTTCCTCTGTCTACCCTGTTTACCTACTCCTCTCCTTCCTAAACTAACCAAAATATGAAACCAGGGTATCAGAAACCTTGAGAGAAATTAGTCATGCATTTTGGAAAAGCATTGATTTTTTTTAAAGTTAAAAATCACCCTACGCACAGTACTTTCTCCACTCCAACAGAGTATTTTAAGCTTTACCTGATGAATGAGGGACATTAGGAAGCGACTTGTAATGAGCTAATGATAAGTTTCCAAGTTTTGAGGCTTCCATTGACACTGTCTTATATTCTCTTTCCCTTCATAGATTATCACGCTAGCGCAAAGCCCGCTCACTTAGACCACTGACCCTAACAGCTTCCTCAACTGGTGCTCTTCCTCTCAGCCTCTCTCCTCTACTATCCTTCTTCCACACAACCATCAATGTGATTTTCTTAAGTCATAGTTTAACAAGTTACTCCCTGCTCAAATAGCATCAGTGATTCCCCACTGACAATAGGTTAAAAAAAATACAAATTCCTTACCTAGCCCAGCCTAAGGCACTCTACAGTCTGGCTCCCAACAATCTTTCCACTCTTATTTTAATCCTACTCACCTTCACGTCAAATCGGTCTAACTGATCCTGGCACAGGAGAGGCACTCTCCTCCTGGTATCAGCTAAGTTCCCATTTCAGAAAACCTTCTCTCATTCTACACAACTCAAATCATTGTTATCTTTCTCTTCAATTTTCCTTATTGTTTATTTTTTTCTGTACACATTGTATCCCTGAACCACCACCTTCCCACAATGGAATGTAAGCTCCTAGAAGGCAGAAGCTGTTTCATTTATCTTTGTATCAGCAGCACACAGGTCCCTGGCCATAGTAACAGACCATAAACGATGTAGCTGTAGATGTAAATTCATTCATTTATTAATAATTACCTTCTGTACTTTACTCTCAAGCCAGCTGAATGCTACAAAAAGAAATCTTGTATGAGGTTAACCTGAAGTGAACCTCACACCACTGCACATTTGCCTTTACTTATCAACAGCAAACCTTTTCCTCTAACTACCAACTCCACCTACTTCCTCCCTAATCCCTTTCTCTCAGATGACCTATCTTCTCACTTTGCCAAGGATAGAGGTCATCCATTCTCAGCTGTGAGCTCTCCTCCAAAGATTTTACACTTTATTCATTTGCTCCAGGGTCCCTACTTGAGGCAGCTTTCCTCTTTGCCAAAACTAACCCCTCAACTTCCTGCACCTGCCTCATCAATCTAAGCTTCAATTGATATATATCTCACTGCTAAACTATCTGAGTCATTTAAGACAGTTCACATCTCCATACCAACCACTTATTTCTTCAACCAATTTCAAATACGGCTTGCAAGGCCATCTTCTACTTGGGGTGGAGAATAGGGAAACATGCTCTGTCCATATTCCTCCTATTAGTTCTTGCTTTTTCTGCAGTCTTCAACTGAGATCCACCTTCATTACTACTCAGATATATTACCTAACAGGTCTCCCTCCTTCCATCCCTCCACTCTCCAATCCATCTTTCACCTAACTGCCAAAATAACCTCCTAATGACTGTCATTACCCTGCAACTATCAATTCCCTATAGGATTAATCTAACTCAATTCCATAACCCAAACCATACTCCAAAAAGAACACTCTACAATACTGGCCTTTGAATTAAGACTCCCAAGCTAGCACATTTGAAGTCTTTACAACTATAAGCTTAAAGCCTCTTCTCTGCAACTTCTACCTAGTGCTCATAGTTCTGCACTCTCAAACAAAAAAAATCAAGTCTAATGCAAAATATGATATTAAGTGTTATCTTATTAGATTTTGCCCAACACTCAAGCCTATCTAGAACTTTTGTTATCTTGCAATCCAGCTTTTAGTAATCTCTATCAAATTTATTAAGTTACATGTAAATTTGATAAATATGCCATCTATGCCTATATACAAGCTACTGATAAAAAATTATTAATAGTACAGTCACTGACCATGGTCTCTACTAGAGGCTACTCAAGTTGACACTGATTATTTTTAAGTTTTAAATTTCATTTGTTTAATATGCATTTTTGCACCCCACCTCCATCTCTTGCCCTCCCTCCCACAAATGGTTGAAGAACCTTGGGAAAAAAATGTGCTTAATCAAGCAAAAAAAAAATTCTCATATTAGCCATGTCCCAAAAAAATGTGTCTAGGTCACCACATTAATGTCGATATAAGTAATATGCTTCACCATCCATCCTCTAGAATCATGTCTTGCCAGTTTACTCTGATCAGAGTTCAAGTTTTTCAAAGTTATTTTTCTTTATAATGTTGTTATCGCAGAAACTCTTCTTCTGGTTCTGCTCACTTCATACAGTCTGCATCAGTTTATATGAATCTTCCCAGGTTTCTCTAAAACCATTTCATCATGTCTTATGAACTATGATTTGTCTTTGGGTCTGGTCATTCAGTTTT